AAGTAGCGTCAAAAGCGCTGGAGGAGGTTGGGGGGGGGGGAGCAACTAAAAATGAATTTCTTTACTCTGGCTTATAATGCGATCTGATTCAGATTCAGCAGTCTGGTAGATATGGTCATTTTCTACGATACTGCGTTTTGAGTTGTATCGTATCTTTAAAATTGTGCCTGCCACAGATTTTTGTGGGTGGGGTGTCCTTTGTGGTGGCGGAAGGGGTCGGGGCGAAGTTTTGAAATGGGGATATCACATGAGTATGGAAACGAAATTTGGTTGCTCTAGCTCTTATAGTCTCTGAGATCTAGGCGCTGATTAAGACGGACGGAGAGACAGAAAGACGGACAGACAGACTTTTACCACAAATACAATATACATACCTCTTAACTCTTTTTGAGTACGGGTATAAAAATGAAATCGTTCCCCAATTGAATTAAATACAAACATCAATTTAAAGAGACAATTTACACAAGACAGACGAGTTCAAAAGTCAGTAAAGAACTAGGCAGACTATAAAGAGAGAGCATCAACAATTTCAATAAACTTTTTAAGACTTTCCATGCTCTCTTCTGTTCGTGCAGTGTTTCAGAATACTTAATCTACGAGTACGCTCTGTTCCCATTGGGCTTACCCCATTTGATACTCAAATCTTAAGTCTTTCCTGTTGATACGTTTCAATTGCTGTTATTGTTGCAATAGCCAACGATAATTGAGGTTTAATCAATTCTTTTCAAGTCCTAATTAGTTTTGAATGGGCCACGTCAAATCCCCCTAATCCAGAGTCTATCTTAAGTGTAAAATTCCGCCTTGTGACATGTGCTCCAACCACTAATCAGAATGGGAATACGTAGAACTCCTTAGTGCTATGCTTTATGGACACATTCCTTTCAAAGGAATGAATAAATCTCTCCTCTGCAGATGAAAAAATATTCCAAAGAAATCTCAGAGAATGTTCAAATAATGATGACTTGGACAATGTTTGGAGTTTTGGGAAAACGGGCAAATGGGCAAATGGGCAAATGGGAGATAGTCTCTGGGTCTTCCTTGTCAGGCTGGTCAACAAAGCTTCCCATAAATTCAGACTCGTGCCTGTCCACGGGGTCTTTTGCTATCAGACCCGTATCTACATATATCTTTATTTGTATCTGTATCTGATTCTGCTGCTTTCAGCGGTCGCATGACCGTTGTTGACTCTACTCAAAGCGACTCTTGCTGGATTTTTGCACAAATATTTGAGGCAAATGCAGGCGAAAATATACGACAGGTGACTTTTGATTGTGTTTGCTTTCGCTGAGTTCTATTGTGTTTCAAGTACCTGACTCTCAGCATGTTTAGGCACTGATTGGAGGGCAAACTAAATATGTTTGATTAGGTCTAGCCTCTGATTGTTTAACTGTTTCGGATGGGTGGGGTTCTTCGAAGAAAGTTCTTCTACTCGTAACAAGGAGATCTATTTCCGTAAAATGTAGCCATCAATTGAACTTCTACGTATATCTGCCAAATTATATTTAATTAATTTCCCATTTAATCTGCTCTGAAAGTCCGAACCGGCAGCAGTTTGGTCCTGCTATTTTGGGACTCATTAGGGCGTTCATTACTGCTCGTATCCTGTTGTTTTACGGCTGCCCCCACATCCACATTGGCCCCGCAGAGCGAACAATGGCCATCAAGGCAATCATCCATCAGATGTCATCGAAAATTCAATTGTGCGACGACTTCTGGAGATGTGGAGGTTATCTAAGGTTCAATCCTTAGGGTCAGCAAATAGTTAAGAACTGTTTTCGGTTCAGTATCAGTTCAAAGTTGAGCGCTCCCACATGGCCAATAAATTTATGTTGAGCGCCCGAAAATTGATATAACCGACCTGCCCCAAGCATCCAGCGATAAGAGGATACACAGAGGGATACACAAAGATGTAGGCAGAAGGATACACAATCGAAAGTGCGTTAAACTTGTTCAGTGTCTATGACCGGGCCTGGCTACTGCCTGCTTGATGGATGTACTTTTCTCTGAAAGGGGGGGAATGCATGGGTGAGTGCTCCATGGAAACACAAATCCCGATTTCGAGCTGTTTGTTTTGTATTGTATGCAAATCTGGTAGAGATGATGGATAAAGGACCTCAAGCGACAGAATTATTGTATCAACAGTTGGTTTAGCATTTAAGTGTTTCTGTGCCTTGACTAAGGTTCTGGGAACGCGTGTTCCCCCTCTGGCTGTGGCTCTTTGAGAGCTCTAGAAGGAATGCAACTTTGCAACTGGCGATGGCTGAGGCGATGCCAACAAAGGGGTCCTTGGCCATTGTCGCAGCTCTTCCTGTTAACGCTTGAAGCTGCCAGCAAAGCGGTTTAAGGACTGAACAATGGTCCCTGAACATGTGTTCCGGCCAGGTCAAGTGGCAACCGGCAGACACTGATGGTGGGGAACTTGGGGGAAGAAATTTTCCACAGCAGGCATTCCATTCGATGGAGCATACACACTCGAAGGAAACCAATAAAGCTTGGTCAACTTTCAATTGACGGTCAATGGTTCTGTCAAGGCCAAGAAGGGAGGACACGGACAGGGACAGAGGGCTCTGCTGAAGCCAAGGCCAGTCTAGAGGGAGTCGAGGGGGTGGAGCGAGCGTGGAGTGTGGCTTGGCTTGGGTGGAGAACAGAGCAAACAAATGGACGCAAACGAAGTGCCGGGACTGCCCAGGAAGTGTCTCAGGACTGGGGACCAACCCAAGACGAGGCAATTACCATAATTGCAGTCATATAAGTAGAAGCAAACACAGATGCATGAATAAATAGCTCGATGCATGCAAATAGCTTTGCTCTGGTTCAAGGGCACATTTCTAATGCTGTCCCGGATGGAGTGGCTGCAGTGGATGCAGTGGAGCGGAGCGCAGTCTCCCGCCAGGAGTTGAATTTCAAATAGTTTTGCCATTAGTTGTCATTAAATTTGCAGCATCTGCTGTGGCCATCGAGCCATAACGAGCAATGAGCAATGAGCAATACCCTGTCTTGCCAGCATCGCCAGTCCCTCATCTCAGGTGTCCGATTTTGACCCAATTCATGTGTGAACTTGGCATAATTCTCATTATTTTCATGCCTCTTCCGCTGCTGCCGCCAGCTGTTGCGCATTTGGCTGAGGGCCAACTCTTCAGCAGACCAGAAAGTGTGGCTAAAAGAAGACGTGAACCCAACCTGGCAACAAAACAAACTGAATCGGCATAAAAATACTCAAATTCAAATTATTCTTAACTCATTATCGTTGCGGGAATATTAATAGAAATTCAGACAATTTCGATTGATAAAAGGTCCCATGAAATTCCCCTAAACTGTTTTGGATAAATGGGATATACCAGTGGCCCAACCCACACTTTGTACTCTATTAGATAAACGATTTATTTTTAGTCTGCTCTGCGACTGCTCTGGCGCCAAGCCTCTGCAGAGGCAAACAAAAATCAATTGCCCACACGGCGTATGAGTAATGCCAGCCAATGCGAGATAACGAACATTAATTGGAATTATTGTTCATGGAATAGTAGATATAGGAGTAGATATGCTAACCTTTAGGCTAATTAAACGTACATCAAATGCTCTTTATACTAGTATTTATATTTGCGCGAAAAATAACAGATGATGGGATGTTAGCTCTCATTTTCTTTATTCTACAGAATTTCGAGGAAAAGTATTAGTAAAAAATACAAGCACAAAGAATTAACTCAAAAAATTGTCAAAGTTTCTTTTTAATTTATTACTTTGGTCTGTTTAAATTCGTTTAAAAAGTTTCTTCTCCTGTTTATTGCAAAAGTATCCTATTGATCCAAGAGAAAACCAAATGCTAAGCTATCTTCGATATCTTTCATCTTTGCAGTTTCGATAACACGACCCGACAACATTTTTCCGCTTCGAACCAAACCAAGTTTTTTTATAGATTTTTTTGTTATGATGTTTTCAAAGGTAGTTTTTTCACATAACTAATGTTTCTTTGGCTGTAACTTACGAAATATTAAGCTTTCAAATGCAAAATTGATGATTTTTGTGAGGTGTTTTTTTTCAAAGTTTTGAATTTAAAAACTTAGGAAAAGTAAAAAAATATATATCCTGTGTCCTTATGTTTTTTATGTATGGGTACCTTTATTGGGAGTCGCTTAAAGTATTGTTCATTAAAATATATGGAGAGATGTCGGATCTAAAATTGGTTGATTAACCCTCCGAAAATTAAATTTTACAGTTTGGATCGTTTATGGCCCTTTCATAATTTTTACTCCGAATCTGAAGCTCATATATCAACAAAAAATATAATGTTGACAAGAAAATTGTACCACCTTTCATATGATTTAAGATTCGCGGTGATAGAAAGGATATACCTGAAGTTATAGCGAATCGAAGTTGAGTGAAGTTCCCTAGAATGCCTCATCATATCTGATTTATGGCTATTTTACAATCAAAAGTGAAAAGTGACAAATGAAATTCGAGAAAACGAAAGAAGCTCCCATAATTTATGGATCATTTATGAAGAAGTTTACTCATAATTTCGCCTGGGGAAACACCGTACCCGTACCCCAAAGGAAGAGTCAGCTGACCAGACCAGAAGCTCGAGCAAATAATCTTTTGGTTGTAAATTTAGGGGCTGGGAATTTGACTCGAGTGAGCCCATAAAAATCACGACGTTGATTTGAGTTTGAGAACTTTATCGGACAGCTAGTTCGATTCCGATTCCGATTCCTTTCTACTCTCCCGAATTCCAGTGTCTGGCTAATTAACTCTTCTGAGAGCTATCTAATCTCTGCCCCGAAACGGGGGTTTATAATCACATACTATATAGTACTAGTACTTATATTTATACTTAGTTATGTCGCGTGGTCATGGGACCAGATATTTCTGCCTCGAGTCGTGCCAATCTTTTAATGCCGAGCCAAAATTTGGATGTTTTGTCACTTCAAAGTTAATACCTTAATTGCGCCAACGTTTTTTATGGCCAAGGGGATGTCTGTCTGTCTCATCAGAGTTGGCCTTAAGGCACATGCCAATGCCAAGGCTGTAATACGATTTGCTGATTCAAAATGCTTGCCAGGCTACGCAGGCTTGGTCCGGCCTCCCCGCTGGATCTTCCCAGCCTGGAAAAAGCCACTTCCATAGAGGTTAGCACTTGGAATGGTTACCCCCTCAAACCTGATTGATTTACCTCTCCCCACCAGAAATGCCATGCGAAAGTCCTGCTGAATGGACTGCAGCAGCTGCTCTACTTCCTGGTCGTGTTCTTGCTCTGCCCAGTGCTGATCTTCTGCGGCTTCAAGTATGTCATCCTGGGCACCAGCGACCTGAATGCAGATATTGGCTCGGGTGTGGCCACTGTGATTGTGATGCATATCCTCATCGCCGTCTACATCTTCCGCCTGGTCTTCCAGCAGGAGTTCTCGCGCATGGAAAGGATCGAAACGTTGTCCGAGTGGGAGATCATTCTGCATCCGCAGGCCCACAAGCAACATCCCGTTATCGTTGTTCTGCTGCTGATCTTCTACTGCTCTTTGATCATCGGCTTCCCCGTTGTCACCTTCTTTGCTCTGAAGTTTGTGGTGCTAAAGAATTTCTTTCTCATCGCCCACATGGATGCCGATATCATATCGGCTATTGTGACCGTCATCGCCGTTCATCTGGCCGTCGGGCTCTTCATCTACAGGGTGTACTCCACCACTCCCACCCCCACCACTTCGGTTAAGAGTGCCAATGCCAAGAAATTTTGATTGAATCCCCCTGCCCCATTCCTCTAATGACTGCACGATGTATCACAGCTCTCCTCCAATTAAAGTACATTGTACAATTTCCTCATCTGGTCATAATGTTGACCGAAAATCTTTCCGTACAAAGTGTTTATTAATAGTTTTAGCATTTCCTGCTTTCATAGAGATCCCCTCCGTATGTGTTTCCCCCTTCTGAAACCATGAAAATGTTTTCGCAAAATGCCATAAACACTTCCCACACTGTGCACAAATGATTTGTGATTTGTGGATATGTGCAAAGTGTTCTCCGGTGCAAAGACATTTCGAAAGTGTTCTCTGGTGCAAAGTCATTTCAGTTGTCACATGTCGTCGACAATCCCCTGATATTTGGACTACTCCTTGACGGGCACATGACACCACAACAGTCTGTTCAGGGACTTTAATGTGGAACAAAGAGCAGAGTGGTGTCGTCTAAGACTTTTCGCATGCAAAGTTTATCAAAGTGACGAGCCCCTGACATGACAAGTGCAGGAATTAAATTCTTTCGCCCCTCAATTATTTATTGCCCATAGCTGGTGACGCCTGTCGGGGGCCCGTGACTTTTTCCAGCTGTTTAACGGTCGCAATGGCTTTGCCTTTGCCTGCCACGCAACAGGTGGCAGTCATGGGTTTGCAGCTGCCAAAAGTCTGCTCTGTTTTATTCGGTTCTGTTACCATGAGAAATGCTTTCTTCCCCTTCGGCAGTGACCTGGAAATCAATTTTGTAAATCACAAGGGAACAACCCCGCACCACACTCGTATTTAAAAATATTTGACCCAGAACTTTTGATGAAGGCTTGGATTTCCAAATAAATGAAAAGTATTTAGAAAGTGAAAGCTCTCTTAGCTGAATTTTAATTATCGATTCACAATATTTGTGTATTATATTCCTCACCATTATTTCCCACTGTGATATATATCTTTCTGATTTCGAGTCACGCAGAAGATCAGATCAGGCTGTTCCACACCTCATTGGGCCAATGGAATTTGCATTACTCGGAGTGTAGGCGAATGTATTCGCTAATGTTTTGTCTCTGTGCACAGTGACGCCTCTGTGATGGGCAATTACACACGTTAGTGGCAATTATTATTTGATTAACATTTTATTACAACATTTATGCGATGCACACGCGGCGACACAAATGAAACGCGACGCAGTTTGGAAACTAAATAGAGAACATTTCACATTGACGATGAACGGAAGAAAAACGTTTACATTGCTGCAGATTTACTGTAATACTTGTAATGCTGTTTGCACGAAAGCAGCGGGCTGACTGAGTAAACAAAATGCAAGTAAGCTGCGGGCCAAGAGCAACAGGTCGCGTCATTTGGACGTCCAGCATCTCTCCAGGCGCATGTGCAAGACACAGAGAAACGAAGCTAATAAGCTATGCGATATTTCGTTTCTCTCTCTAAATATATGATCTGGGGTATTGTAATAGCTCTCAATTAAATCAGTTTGGCACACTTTATATAATTCGCCCTCTCAAAATTCAAATTTAACGCACCCCGACAGAGCTGCCACATCGTTGAAAAAAGGTTGACGGGAAACTACAACTGCTTGGTACCCACAATAACGCGTGCGTCAAGCAGTGATTTGGCGGAATATTTGAATATGAGGAACACGTTTTGAAATTAAAGCAATTCATATGTTTAATTGCACTTTCTCTTTGTAGTGATGAACACCAATCCCGTACTCGCATTTTACTTCAACTAAATTGCTACACAGTCAATGAAATGCATTTAAATTTAATTAAGAATTTCCCAGTTCTAACAGAGTTGCCACACCGTTGAGAAAAGGTTATTTACCAGTGACAGTATCGGGAGTGCCCACAATATGCCGCGCGCCTTGTCAAGCAAGAAATTTTCAAATGCTTTTCAACTGCAAATTTTTAAATTTTTCTGCGTATAGAGGGATATCTTGAGAGACAACATTATTGTTCGTAGCCGTCTCTAGACATGTCTAATGCTTTTTAGTCGAATAACTAATGCACTGCTTGATACAAAATTATGTTTTATAGCAAAACACAGCCACTAATTGCCATTAGACTTTGACAGTGCCTAATGCCTCCTAAAGCCCACATTCATATGTGAGAAAACGTTGTAATGAACTTACAACGCGTATCCGTCCACTGTGTGGGCCGCAATGGCCAAAAATTTCAAAAATTGGATTTTTAAAAATACGTTAACGGCAAATTTTGGAAATCCGAACATCTTCGGAATGCGTTTATGTTTGATGCGTGTTTGGAAAATAAAAATGGTGAATCACGTGTACATTCAAAAGCCGGAGACAAACGAGGACGTGATCATCCATGTGATGCAGGCTCCCAGCAACACATCTGATTCCGCGGTGCAATTCTGTATGCCGTATGCAATTGATTAATTCTGCCGCAGCTCAACTGGACAGCCAGCTGGACGCATATGTATATATTGTTCTCGCTCTGACTGCAGGCATTTTCCATAAGGCCATCTCTGTTTTTCCTGCTAGTCAGCTAACACAGTCTAATGTCATAATACCATTAACAATTGACGCATTTGTAGAGTTTTTTATATTATTTAATGTTAGTATATATGCGAAGATTTGAGGATATATTAAAAACCTCAGGATCAGTAGAATACACAGCTGTGACGTGAAACTCAATATATTTAGAATAAACAAAAACAATACCAGAGTAATATTAATATCTGTTCAGAGAAAGTTGTAAAAAAAACAGAGCTACAAATGTCGTTACTCTTCAACACCGAATGGGGCTTTTTGGAGGGCATTGCGCGGGGCTTCAAGAACGGGATGCTGAAGCACTCCGACTACCTCGCCCTGACGCAGTGCGAGTCCCTCGAAGACGTAATGATGAACATCCAGGGCACCGACTACGGCAACATCTTTTCGAACGATCGCAAGTTCAATGTGGATCTGATCGAGAAGCGGCTGGGGGAGAAGCTTCTCCATGAGTTCAACTACATCCGGGCCCACTCCACGGAGCCATTGAGCTCGTTCCTCGAGTACATCCGCTATCCGTACATGATCGACAACGTTGCGCTGCTGATCGCGGGCCTGAACAATAACAGGCCCATGAAGAGGCTGCTCGAGATGTGCAATCCGCTGGGCTACTTCGACCAACTGGCGGCCATTGAGGTGGCCGTCAGCTCGGTGGAGCTCTTCAACGCCGTGCTCATCGATACGCCGCTGGCCAAGTTCATTCCGTCCGAGTTCCACGAGGAGACCTTTGTTGAAATCGACGTGGAGATTGTCCGGGGCGTGCTCTACCGCGCCTATCTGGAGAGTTACTACTCCTTCTGCGAGGGCCTGGGCGGGACCACGTCTGATGTAATGTGCAATCTACTGCGCTTCGAGGCGGATCGTCGGGCCATCACCATCACCGTGAACGCCCTGCCCACCAACCTGACACCCGACGACCGCCTGAAGCTGTACCCCACCTGCGGCCATCTGCCCGATCTCGCCTTGCGGACCCTCTCCGAGATCTTGGACTACGACCGTGTGCGCGATATCTGCAACTTTGCGGGCTATGGCGACATGTTCGAGAACATCGAGCGGGACACCGACGGACTGATCGGCCTTGAGGATCGCTTTCTGATGCTCGAGGCCAAGAACAACGTGTACTCGTATCTACAGCAATTCCACTACGGCGTCTTCTACTCCTACGTGAAGCTGAAGCAGCTGGAGTGCCGCAACATCATCTGGATCTGTGAGTGCATCTCGCAGCGTCAGACGGATAAGGTTAATGCGTACATTCCCATACCTTTGGATTGACTTCTTGAACAATTTAGTTTATTTTTCATTCAGCTTTGCGTTGTGTTTGGTATAAATCTATATAAAAAGATAATGATTAATATTAATAATTAAATCGAGTTAATATTATGAAAGAAGTGTCAAAGCAGTTAGAGTATTGATTGTTACTAATAAGGGGATTTCCCAGCAGATGTAGCTTCCTTTACGCTTATCTCATTTGGTTTTGTGCTTTACCAAGAATGAATGAATTGGATTACATCATACACCTTTAAGAACTCCAATTTTAAATAGAATATTGGCGGTAATCAGCGCTATGAGTAGAGATATGTAGATACCATACCCCCATAGCTACCACCAGTGTATATGTACATATACACATATGTACATGTGTATGCACGTTGTACGAGTATTCAAAATAAGTTAGTCGAAAGTCGATTTCATGGCTAAGCTTCCCGAACCGAGCCCCAAGCGGGTATGGCATCGCGAAATCAGATTCTGGTTTTCCTGCCACTTCCTCCGTTGGTTTGGGGCCAACTCTCAGTTGGAATTCGCGATTCTAGCCCGACAGTTCGAGTACGAAAATAAGGCCAAACAAAAAAAAAAAAGAAAACCAAGAAGAAGAAAAACAGAGCCAGCAAGTGCCCGAATCCGACGAATGAATCATCTTCGGATTTTTTTATGGTCGTCGTGAGTGTGTTTTTCATTTTGATTTTGTTTTTTTTTTCATTTTACGTAGATATTTTTCCAGCCGCTCTCGAGTCGAATCGAGTCTCGTCTCTCGGGCCACCTCCCGAGTGGCTCCCACCCACCCCCTCCCTCGTATGTGTGTGACAGTTTTTTATCAACAAAACTATTTATTCGAAGCTCAATATTATATAGTCGCAGGCAGTAATAAGTCTGCAGTGACAGACATCTGTGTGCGGGTGTGTTGTGTTCCACATTATGTACTCGTAGTACACATGCACACAGAGTCCACACACAGTACACATTACTGCCAGACACATGCCAGAATTTTCATTCAGCGACATTATACTCGTACATTATATTCGGACTCGTGGAGCAGATAAATCGTCTCTCTGTGATGCGTAATTCATGCAAATATGAGAAAGGTTTTCCGCATTTTCCCAGACACGCCGCCTCTGCCGGCTCGGGTCTGTCCATGGAGTGGAGTGGAGTTCAAGTTTCCTGTTCTGTGGCTCCTCTGCCGCACTCTACGCTGTACTCTCCACCCCGCAATAGTTGTAAATCTAGTTTCGACTTGAGACTTCAGGCAATCAGATAGCCCCTTCCCATACATACCCATACACAGCATATGCAACCCTAAGACTACAATAAAATCCAAGGAAGCTCCTCTCAGCAGAATGCGAACCGAACCAAACCGAACCGTTGAGAAATCTAAACAAGAATTCAAGCCCGAAAAATACGTAGCCATCGGGGCACAGTGAAACCCACAAAAGGCTGCTCACCTGTGGATGAATTGGTTCTTGAAACATGATCTTCCAGGAATCTTTCACAGAAACCTTGTTTTCTGTCAGCTGGGTGTATCGGCATGTACATACAGGCAATTCTCGACTGAAAACTTTCTTTCAAATTAGGTGAAATTTTCTGAAATTCTGAATATGGGGGGAAACATCTTACAAGACTTTACAGTAATTGTAATTTAAAGATTTAAGTTGTAAAGCTACGAAAGTAGATAAGAAGAATGTAAATATTTTGTAATACAAAAATAAACAGAAACAAGAAACGAAATATTTCAGATTTAACTTTTATACCCAGAGTGAACACACAATTTCCCATCCCAACCCAACCCTCATATTATGTCATCATAAAAATAAATTGAAAGAATATGTAAACAAAAATCGATAGGGTTTGATACATGGAATTTACTGAATTTTTTAACATACATACATATGTACACACATAACTACAAATGTGGCGAAATTCCGAATCATCTAACCATAAAACATACATTCTGTGCATGTATGTATGTATGTATATATCTGTCAATTTGCATACTGTTGTTTTTTTTCGAATAACCCCGTTCTTGAAATAAGAGAAAAATAAAATACATAATATGAAAAAAAAAAAAAAAAATGCCGACAGCCACGAAAAATACATATAACAACCGACTGTCTCTCGCAATCTCTCACAATCTCAAAAACAACTAGCAACCATAACCATTTATTTGTGCCTTTCTGAAAAGGCACATATGTACAAATACATATATATACGCGTATATATAGTTTGGATTTTGTAGGCCCGTTCGTCGCTTTCGAGTTTTCAAATTTAGTATTGAAATAGTCGTTAACGACGGTGGTTGGTTGGTTGCTTCAATTTCGTTGCTTGTTCGTTCGCCGTTTTCTGAGCTCTCTCTCTCTCTTGCTCGCGCTGGTAAGTGCAAGTGTATGTGTGTGCTGCCTGGCAAGCAAGTCATTTGCTGAATAATAGTTGAATCTTAAAAATTGTTTTAAAACTATTGAACTATCTGCCTCAAAATATCTTGAAATGGCAAGGAGGGGCTCTAGAACACACCGAAGGGGCTGCCATGTCAGTTGTCAATTGGCTTTTATTTAAATTCGATATGGATGTAATTGGGAAATTGAATTCAGTTGTTCTTTTTCTTGAAAAACTTCTCAGCACTCACATAATAAGCGTAAATTTGTGCTCGCGAGTGTGTGTGTGTGTGTGTTTTCGTGAGCAGAAGAGCGCAGCTTGTTCTCGTTTTGTGCTGCGCTGGTTCAAGGTGTATTGATACAAGGTGACGAATTTCCGTTCATTGAGGGACTTATTTACCTGTAGTGCGTACCTGCCTGCAGGAGAGAACAGAAAAATATGCCAATGTGGAAGAATTCAGAGGAACACTTCACTCTTTATTATTATACCATGCGGCTTATTGTCAACGTTCAGTTGTATCTCTGCTCATTACAGTGGACACAATCAATTTAAATTGAATTGGAAATTACATATCCGCTCTGTGTCCAGTGTGAGTTTAGAGTACACATGCGCCCGCCCCTCGTCTAAAGCCCCTAATAAAGCCTATCCAAATCGAATGCAATGGCTTTATCCAATTAAATGTGCTAAACAGGACCAACAGGCCATGCGGTCTGACAACCCGTTTCGTTTTCCATGACCCCGTGACCACTGTGCCATTTGCAAATCTCAAGCCGCTCGTTTTATTCGCAAAAAATGCCACAGAAAGCTGGAAAATGACGCAAAAACGCTTGGGATTTTTTCAAATATTGTCCCTTGCCAATATCCCCTGTTCCCTATCGCTGACATTGACAGGAAGAAAGTCTTCTTCTTGCCACATTTTGGCATATTCTTTTGTGCTTCTTCGCATAATTTCGTATTTCTTTTGAATTTTTTGCGATTGAGATTACGCATAAGTAAAAAGAGAAGCAGCTGTGTGCGCTTGCCCTTAATTTCTTCAGAATTTATATTATTTATTCATTAGCCCGTATCATATTTACGAAAACACTATCTGAAAAAAGAGTTCAGTTCTATTATTGAGCGTCTGACTTCTTGATTGTTATTTGGCATGTGTGTGGTGCGAGGGGTGTGTGTGTGTGTGTGTGTGTGTGTGGGTTGTATGTTCGTATTTGACGTGTTTTTTCGGACCATTATTCGTTTTGAAATTCGTAATCAAAATCGATAAAAATATATACTTCCTCAGTACTAGATTTGTATGCTTTTTTCTTTAGTTTTCTAGTGGTATGTGTGCACGATTGGGGAATGAGTGTGTTGGGGTCCGGTCCGCTCTGTTGATGGGTTTTGGAATGTGTTAAACAGTTGGAAACACGTCACATCCATCCATATTTCACATTTGTGCTCTCAAACTGAAAACATACAAACGTTTCTATGGAAGTTGCTCAAAGGTGGTGGATTTCCAAAGTAGAATTTAAATATGGACTTCACTTCAAATATACTTACAGACATGCGTATAAAATATTTTCCAAACAATTTTGAAAGTCACATGTACAAAGGTTTTCAATATTTTCAAATCTAATCGAAATATTTTTTCTTTTAGATACCGCAGAGTGATTAAATATCACTCATAGAACAATGTTAATGCCACGATATATGGGCCTGAACGACAGCACTTCGTCGTCGGTCAAAAATGCATCCAGCTCGTCCTCGAGCAGCGGGAGCCCAGCCACCACGGTGGGCGCCCACACCACGGTGGCCGCCCACACGAAGATGCGTCTGCTGAACAAAGTGGAGCACAACATGCGTCAGAGCCAAGGTCAGAGCCAGAACATCAACAGCCTCATCAGCACGGCCGCAAGCGGTAATGGAGTTGTGGGCGATGTGGACGGCCTACTGATGCCCATGCGCATTACAGAGCACCATTCGCCGCCACCAGCAGACATGCTGACGGGCCCAGGGGTTGGTGTGGGTGGGGCCGGGGCCAAGAACGATGTTGTTGTCCACACAAACTCGCGGCCCGAGCGCAACCTGTGGAGCCGGCCCGAGATGCTGGAAATGCTGAGCATCATGCAGAACATTAATGCACTAGAGAGGCTGCACGATCGGAATACGAAGAGCGAGCACGTGTTCCGGCAGGTCGAGATGATAATGCGCAGCAAGGGCTACGTGAAAAAGTCGAGCATTCAGATCTGGACCAAGTGGAAGTTCCTCAAGTCCACCTACAACACAACGACGCGGTATGGCACTGGAGTGCCCAAGGTTGTGCCCGAGGAGGTCTATCGCGTCCTCTGCCGCATGTTGGGCGGCGGCGATGGTCACAATGTCAGTGGCAGCATCAGCGAATGCGGCAACTCCATGGACAGCTCCAAGACGATGGGCGAAGAGGATGAAATGGGCGTGGAACACCCCATATTTGGTTTTCGTCTGGGCCTCGTCAAACCGGAGCCAATCGATACAGGTAGGCGGCAACCCTTTTTACAGAACAGAAGTGGCAACTCTGGCTTAAAACGGCGATCGACGAGTTACGTCAAAAAGACGCTTTGACATTTCACTTTTTTTTTGCGCTCCCACCAGACAGACGCTTTTCTGCAGCAACCTCGCCTCGTGTAGGATTTTCATATAATTTGTAGTTGTTCTTAATTTAATAAATTGATCTTCCATTGCAGGCTACGAAACAGCGCCGAAGGACGTGATATCCGAGCCAGACTTGGAAGCTTTCAACCACGAGGCGCTTGATTGCGGGGATCCCGACTACGTGCCCCACATGCCCATCATTGTGTCGGTTAAGCACGAGCCCGATATGGACTTGGGCATGGACGACACAAACACCCCGCCGCCAACGGCGCCAGCGTCGCCCACTCCGCCGCCAGTTAGCGTGGAACTAAACGCTGATGAGGATTCCAATCACGTGTACACATCCACGCCAACAATGCCACCGCTGCGGGTGGCTTCATTTGCCAAGGATGAGCTGAAGAGGCCCACACGCGGCATTCTGCAGATCGATCGTCCGCCGCCGTCCCTAACCCAAATGGGACCGCTTCCAGGGCAACACGACAAGTTGACTCGCTCGATGGCACTCCAGAGCACGAGCAGCATCAACTTTGTGCATCCCACCAGCAAGCTAATGCTGCCCCGGAAGCAGCCCGGGCGCCTGCCACGTGAGATCAGTGTCCAGCCGGCGGGCATGCGCCTCAAGTCGGTACCCATGCGAGAGACAGGCTATTCGCTGCGCCCCGAGCGCATGATTCCCGATCTGGGGCATTCGATCTCGCCGCCCCATTCGCCGACGCCATCGCCCCCCATCTACTCGCAAAGCACGTTGCGTGGGCCGCCTCCTAGGTACCCCATGCCACCACAGGCGGAATCCATCAGCCGCCAGTCCCAATTTCAGTCGCAGCAGCAGCCACAGCAGCGGAAGCGGCGCATGGGCCAGAGCCAGGGCCTGGCCGCACCCCCAGTGCCTGTCAAGCTGCAGCGGAGCTCTAATGTCATCGAGTCAACGCCCAAGAATTCCCGTGCTGCACCCCAGCCCGAAGCTCGGTCCATGCCAGAGGACGTTCGCAACTCAAAGGAGGAGCAGAAGGAGCGGCGCAAGCGGCAGCATGAGGATCTGTTCACCAAGGAGCTCACCCACCTGGCCAATGGCATGCGGAATGCGCAGAAGGAAATGCTCGAGGACTTCTTCAAGCAGCAGAGGAAGTTCGCCCGGAGCGAGCACCTTTTCCAGATGAAGCAGGACTCGATGGTGATGACGGCACTGCGCAAGCAGACTGATGCTCTGCTGCAAGTCGCCAACGAGCTGATAGGGGACAACGCCCCGCCCAAGATGGAGAAGGTCAATCGTGAGACTATTACCGAGGAAAAAACTGAAAAGAAAGAAGATAAAACTGAGGCAAGCGAAGACAAAGCTGAGGAGAACGAAGATGGCGATGGTGGGGATTCGGAGAACGAAGAGGATGAGGAAAATGAAGATGAAGAGGATGAGGAAGAGTATGATGATGAGGAAAACATGAACTTTGAGAGCGAGTTGGACATGTGCACAATGGCCATGTCCGAATCGGCCAAGAGCCACAGCCTGGATGAATCCAGCCATGGCGACGCTCACAGCGAGGCCGAGTAGTAGTATATCCACCCCCCGTAGATTCCTAGTATTACCCCCAAAAATGATATATAGTTTAGTAGAAACCGATTCATTCCAATCGCATTCCTTAAGTTTACACCCACCCCCTCCTAAACACTATATACATATTCCTAGAGCCAGGCCCGCGCATTGTTAAAAGACTTGATAATATTTAAGCATAAAGAAATAATGAAACGAGAAGTAATTATAATTTAAATGTATTTATTGTTCACCGATTGTCCGTGCCACAAGCATGGATCATCCAAAGTGCTGTAAGGTTATTGAAACAACAAACACATACACGCCACACATAAACGATACACCACATAAGTATGATAAAGAATACATTATGAATGATATGATATTATCAACAGAAGGAAACAAACCAATCTTTGTTTATAATTTGTTGTGGGTTTCTGATGGGTTACAGATAAAAGATTCAATTTAAAATTTCCTAACAAGAAAAATACATACATATATATATTCAAATATTGCATTAGCTTGACAAAACAAGTTGAAAAAAAAAAAGAAAACGCGAAATTAATTGCTCTTAGTATCTAGAAAGTTTCCCAAAAATTTGTTTAAACTAAATATTAGATATTACTAGGCTTAAAATGACAATCTGCGAATGCACTAAACTAGTTAATGCTCCCCCTTTGTGCTCTCTCTGTTTCGACTGATTGCGGGTTAGTTTACAATTCTGGTTAGGCCTACAGCAATGTGTGTTAGCAGCTAGTTAGTATTTTATTTTACAATTACCATTACGTTTACAATTACGTGTGCCCCCCGCTACCATGACTCTGCCTCTCTGTGTGTGTGTGCTTAATGTGGGGCAGAGAGAGAGTGGAGCCCTATCTAGTCCGGCCTATAGATGGGCGTTTTGGGTATAAATTCAATTAAAATAACATACTCCATCATGGAATTGGAATCACATTGTTGCTTATGCAGTCGCCAGTGCAGGCCCAGCTTATGATATAGATGATTATTCTCCCATTCGAACAGTTTGTCCAGAGTGAGTTGTGTCTGTGTGCATACAAAGAAGGGGCAACAGGTTAGAGCATGTGGATATTTTATATATTTACTATATTGAATCTATGCTTACGCGTTTGCTGAGACAGATGACGGGCCAGAGGGAGCAGCCGAGGGTGCAACAGCAGCAGACGCAGCCACAGAAGAGCCACTTAACATTGACGGGCAGGGATTTCTTCAGTACGCCATTAATGCGACCCACAGTCGCCTTAAACTCCTCGGGTGCCACGCGCGACAGCAGGCCGCATGGAAACTCCACATTGAAGCGATTGCTCAGACCAAATCTGTAAATAGAGGAGTGAGAATTTTAGTATGGGTAACGTAACAGACTCTCCTCCTCTGCACCTATGTATGGAATGCGTCACATTTATTACGAATGTTGCACCTCAACTAAGTAGCTAACGTTTCTCTTATGCAACCTGCTGGCAATTGACAGCTGGGGCAACAGAAAAATGCACCCAGCAACATGAGCGACCACCACCCCAAAATTGAGGTCAAGCCGTATCAATAAAGCCGCTCGACAAAACAAAGCCTATGACGAAATTAGGTGGGAAAGACCTTGAACTACTTTTTCAATTTCAAACAGAGAAAATACGAGTCGAGTCTGTCTTCTATCAATGATATATAATATTCTTGAGTATTCTTTATCGATCACTTACACAGTCATATTGCCAGCGCCTCGAATTATGATGGGCTCGGGCACCGGCGCCACCGATTGATCCTGAAAGTGCTCCAACTCCTCGAGCTGCTCATCCTCGTAGATGGCATCGAAATCGGAGAAAGACATAGTTTTGGTTATAATTGCTCGTTGATAGGCCTCACAGGCGGCTAAGAGGAAGGCGAAGGCGTCACAGCAGACGGCGGCAGGCGGCAGGTCAAAACATGTTTGGGATATGTTCGTGCCTGCTTTTGTTTAAAATCAAATCGTTGCAGTGCGCCTTCAGATTTCGTTGGAGGAGCAGCCACTGCCTTTGTTATTGGCTGCTGCTTCCGCCATACGCTTTGCCGTCGATTGCGTTCTTTTCTGATGTGAGATGACGTCTTCTCCAGGAGGGGGTTGGCAGCATGGAGGGGCGAGAGCAAAGTTTAAAATAAAATGCATATTAAAATTTGAAAACAATGATATTAGCAGAATTGACGCTGTACAACACTGTCCGACGTCTGCTTTGTTGTTGCTGCTGCTGCTGGCGCTGTCGTATGAGGAAGGGGGAGAGACCTGTGAGGGTCGTATTGTCTCCAATACAAAGACGATTTCAATACTATAAGTTTGTTTTTCCACTTGCAACATGATAACACGCAATATATAGGCCAACAGCAGCTGCAAAAAGCACAAACGTACTACAAACCTCCTCCTATTACACGACAGACTCCCTCCACTGCTATTACACCTTTCCTTTCTTTCCCACGCAGCGTATTTCGCAATCACTTTTTTTTCAAACAGACGTAGCAGGCAGTGGCGCACCTGGGGTATTTACGAGTATTTTATCTGTACCATTTGACAGGTATTTTTGATTATTCGAGCACAGGGGTTACAACTTTTACACGCTTTCTACGTTTTGTAATACGAAAATAGCTGCTCCTCTGCTCTCGTGCTGCTGAATATTTGTTGTTTGAGACACGAACAGCTGTTGGCAGCGCAGGGTTGATATTCATATATTGATTTATTTATTAAACTATATAAAATAAATACGTTGTATGTATAAAATACATAGCCAGCTAATATTAAGCTTAAACGATAAACAAAGACAATGGTGTTGTGCACAAATTCGAAAAGTTAGCAACTCAAAAAATATTGCAGCATTAGACTAGGCTAGGTTAAAATTATTAAATATAGTTATAGACGAGTATGATTTCGCAATAGCATGAACGACAAGGCATATTTGAGAGGTACAGGCTTCCTTCCGGTAGTTTGGTATCTTTTCTACTTCTTTTTCGCCGCACTGGGGCTGGTCGATTGGAACACCGAGGAGGCGGACATCAGATTCTCGATGTACTGGCCCAGAACCTGGTTCTCGGAGCGCAATTTGAGATTCTCCTCCTTCACAGAGTCCACACGCTGCGACAGATCATCCAGGGTGTTCTGCAGCTCCAGCACCTGGGTGATTAGGCGTGCCTTCTCTTCGCGATCATCCTGCGCCATTTCCAGCGTGTCCAGCGAATGCTGGGAAGAGTCTGGCGTCGAGCTTCTGTTGGTGAACGACGACCGCAACGAATCCATGGACTGGCCACTGGGCATGTGTGGTGCTGTCGAGGGCTCATCCTCCTGGATGACAACTGCTCAAAGAGAAATTAAGGTTTGAAATGAAATGAAATCATCATCATGGGACGGGTCTCGCCCATTCCCACACTCTCTCACCCTGCGGATCTTCGTCTATGGCCAGTATGCTGTCATCGTTGTTAAGCAGTGACATGGTTAGGTTCTGGGTGACGCCGTTCCCTTCAATTTTGCTGCTATTTTTATTAAATGTTCGGTTGAAATTTTGCAAACGTTGGCTCAATTGTTTTGTCACGGAAAACGAAAACTACCACTTTGGCTGTGCGATGCTTGCCACACTGGCCTATATGACCTGGTGTGGCACGTTGTCCAACACCCACCGAAGTTCAACCGGAAGAAGAAGCACGCGGTCAATTTTGTGTTTTTTAACAAACTTTTCAAACAATTAAGGCGCCTTAACTTCTGCGAAAGTACTTGAAGTGTTTAAGAAAGTCATTCAATTCAGTTACCTATATTAAGTCGTTAACATAAGAACAATACCTGCTGATGCGATTCAGTGAACTGTTTTTTTCCACCTCTTTTGAGATTGAAATATAAAGACGCGAATTGTTTTGCGTATTACAAAGTATGTGACCTATTTTCCGTTAATATTGGTAAATTTCAATGCGTACAAAATATATTATATATTATTATATTATATTTCAAAATAACTGACACCAGCCACAATCCAAACAGACAGAGTTGCCACCTGACATATTTCGATCATAGAATCATAAAGTACACACATGCGAAATTAAAATTCACACGTGAATAAGCGTCCCAACCGACAGGCTGTCCCAGCATCCTGATCACAGGCAAAGTCATATTAATAACCATCAAAAGCAACAACATCAACATCAACAGCAGATCCAACAGCAGTTGCAACGCAATCGCATCGCATGCTTTTGCTCCGCAGGCTGCTCTGGCTGAATAGTTTTTAATATCGCCCTGGAGCGTCAACTGCGTGTAACGTAATTTCATCTAGTTTGTTGTTTTTCGGTGAATAAAAAGCTTTAGCACCCACCTCACAGTCAACCATAACAACAGTTAGTCGCGTACACAAGTACACAACAATTTCGTGCGGTGCGCGAGGTCGTAGCATAACACCCTCGCAATCCAATAACTGAGTCAGGTAAGGGTTATCCCGTGCACAGCATAAAGACAATTGTACTGATGTTTGGCACGTTCTGTGTGTCTACCCGTCCACAGGTCATCCTGGTTCTTGTCCTTTGATGCTGTAATTTTCGATTCGCTCTGAGTGTCTCTCTCTCTCTATCTCTGTGCATCTGAACGGTAAGTAAACAGTTATGTTTCTAAGAATAAGAGGTTAGCATTTTTTAAAACCGAAAGCTTAAGAGCATAGTTTGTGCAGTTTTGGCAAACTCAATCACAAATCAGCGAAAACCAAACCCAGATAAGAAGGTATTGGGGCATTGTAATTGGACTGTCAAGCGGCTACATACGTAACAGAAAGAAGACAACAGAAAGATTCTGCTGCAAGTTTATCTAAAGCGGATTGGCATAAGCTGTGCATGGATTCTTTCATGTCTATAAATAAATTTATGTTATTTCGGAGATAACAAAAACCTTCAAAAACCTAAAAATGGTATCAAAATTCAATATATGCTTGGTGTGACCGCATGCACAGCATAAAATATACTAGACAGCTCAAAAATTACCTAAAAAAAGCCGTTGTGTCACACTGAAATTATGCGTACATAAATTTCGACCAAATTTCATATCAATATCATTTCAATTTGAAAATATATTACAATGTTAATTTACTATTCCTAATCTTAAATGAAAAAATAAAGTGACGAAGTTTTTTGCCGGGCCTTAGTAAATTTATATGATACGCCCACATGGTAAATGCTGCGCCATTGTCCCAAATATGTTAATATACACATTTTCCTAGCCGTCTCTTATTTATTTTTATTATCACAACTGTAAATTAACCTTAATCGTTTCCAGGCAACTGTGCTCGTGGGCAGCATAACTGTAAACCATTTTAAACATTGCAAACGGCAACGGAACTGCCCACCAATTAAATAATTGAAAATACCACCAGAAAATACTGAAAATGAGTGCAAATAAACGCGCGAAAGTAATAACTGCGATTACAAATGTTTAAATGTATATATAAAAAAAGAACAAAGGTGGCAGGAAGTGAAAACAGATGCAAAACAACAAACAATATAGGCATTGCAGCAACATAAGTATCGATTCTCAGACGAGAAAAGCAAAAACCCAAAGCAGAAAAATACCAAACGCTGCTCTGTAAAATGCCCAAAACTTTGTTGTAGGAGGGAGAGGGCACAACGTTCAATAGCGAAGAAGCGTTGAAACGAGACGCGAGGAGTTGTGATTAGTGAATTAAGAATATTAATCACTTTTAAGTACAAATACAAAAGTAAACGTCCCGGTACAGTGACAAGTGGGCAACACGAGACAAGATGTTGCCTGCCAACCCCCCGGTGTCCCCACCTGACCCGAACCAGGTGAAACGCAAAATGTCCATTCCGAACATTACAATCATACCGCGCAAGGGTGCTGAGGAAATGCGTTTCCTGCCCATCGCCGCCATGCCCACGAAGTCCTCCAGCATAACAATTGGCAACGTTCAATCGGTTAAGAGCAACAACAATAATAACATCCAAACGGCATTGAAATCCAAACTGACGACCATGAACATTGTACAGGCGAGTGGAGTGAAAACCACCAGCCTGAAGCCAGGAGCAGTGCCTGCCACTGGTCCCATGATACAGCTGGTGCCCATGTCTGCTGTGTCTTCTGTCACAGGCGGCGCCACAAATCATCATCAGAATCTCATGGCCATTCTGACGCCATCCGGCAAGACCGCGATGATAAGTGCTGCCCCACCGCATGCCCAGCCAATCGTGATACGTCCCACTCCAACTGTCTCCCGGCTGTCGCATCCGGGCAAAGGAACTTTCACCATCAACAGTAGCAATGGCACGGCCTCTGTTACAGCCTCAGCCCTCGCCAGCGGCTCCAAGGCAGCCGCCAGCAGAACATCAACAGTGATTCCCAATACAATGGCCGCCATGACGGCGGGCCCACCAGCACCAGGTGAGTGTCGTTTTCGTTTATTTCTCCAAAGTTATATAATGCAGGAGGAGATCATCTCCATTCGAGAGATCTAGGAGCTTCGCGATATTCCGCTTTCGGTTTAAGTCTCTGTTTGGGTTCGTTTCGGTTTAGTTTCGGTTTTTGGTTTCAGTTTCGATTTTGGTTTCCAGCCAGCAGCAGCAGTCGCCGCTCTCGCGCGTCCATTTGACGGAGCGAGCGACCGACAACAACAACAGCAGCAGCAAACGGGAACGACAACGACAACGACGTGTGTGCGTAGATTTTATTGTGTGTTTTTACATGTTCTGTGGGCTGGTTTATCTGTCATTTTGTTGCACATTTCATAATCGTTTGAGAAACAAATGCAAAAATTAATGGAATTTCGCGTGCGTGCGTGTGTGTACAGTTTTTATTTTGGAGGAATACTCTACCCTGCCGTACCGTAAATAGTATATATTTATACCCCGTCGAGGGAGTCGGGGAATCGATTGTCGGATCAAAGATTGGCTTCTGAGGAGTGTAAGATAAAATACTCGTAGAAGCAAACAGCAGGAAATTCTCGTGTTGTATTTTAATAATACTCGTACATATTTTCTTTTTATCAATATCACAATTGTAGAGTGAAGAAAAGCGGGGCAGGGGTAGGGTTCGGGTAGCAACAACAACAGCTAGAGAGTGACGATGGTGATGATGACGATCAGGTTTTTAGCAGCTGCAATAAGCAGGCAAGCCAGGGGCAGGGCAGGCAGCGGCGGATGAGGTGGGGGGGAAAACACACACAATATTCGATTCGATTTCGCGAGGATCGACACAGGCACAGGCACAGTCCCACTTACAACATTTGTGTAATAAAAATTAAAATTTGTGCTTATATTTGCAGCAGCAGCACCTGTACCTGCTTCTGTATCGGCATCTGCATCCGCAACTGTAGCAGCTCTACCTGTACCTGCCTCTGGATCCGTCACAGCTGCGGCAGCACCAATCCCGTCGCAGCAGCAAGTCTCACTGATCGGCGGGCAGGCATTGAAACCACGTGCCCCGCTTATACTCAGCAAGGTGGCGGTCGATAAGCTGCGCATTAAATTCAATCAGGCGAGGGCCAATCCCAATGCCATCATTGTCAGCAAGGCGCTTCAGCAGAGCAGTGCCCAAGCCATAGGCAAAAATAATAATTTCACTCCCATTACCGTGAACGACATGACCAGGACATGCTCGACGCAGGCAGCATCAGTTGAGAGTAGCAGCAGCAACAATCAGTGCATATTCCCGAAAAAAGCGTTGCCACTATCCCCAGGCAAGGACACAGCCACACCCAAGACCTCCACTCTAACAACAGCCATTGAAAGCAGCAGCAGCAACAACAAAGAGAAAGACATCAAGAAAAAGTCTCCCATAAAGGCCCTGCCCCTAGTGCCGGAATCCATTCCCAAGGACATGCCCAAGGTGCCTCCAACCAGCAGCAAGATGAGCCCCAATCCAAATCCCAGAGAGATCACCATCCAGGCCGCTGTCAATGGCCCCCAGAAGAAAACAGAATCCAAGCCCAAACCCAAGCCTATGGCCATGGCCGAGCCGCCAGCACCGGTCAAGGTGAAGCGCTCTAAGTCGTTTGTGTCGACCGAGGAGGTGGCCCTAATGCGAGCCATAGAGCGACGCCGCTTCTCCGTGGCCGTTGGGCATGTAAAGGAACCTCAAGCACCTACAAAGGAGCACCATGAAGTGGCAAAGAAGCCACAACATGCCGCAAAGCAGCACCAGGCAGCCGCAACGGTGCCAGTAGCACCCGCAAAGAAGCCTGTTGCACCCGCAAAGGAGCCTCAAGAACCAGCAAAGGAGTCTGTTGCACCCGCAAAGGAACCCGTTGTATCCGATAAGGAAGACGACGCTGTTGTGATGCTGGCCGATCCGCCCATCGAGACAATCACAATCGACACCGATGATAGCGACGATGACGGGGAGAAGGATCAGTCGGCAAAGTTTCCACCGATTCTCTCCACAGCTGCACTGACAGTCACAGCCATACCGGGATCACCCAGACGCACATCCACACCGACCAGCAGCAGCACCAGCACCAGCACCAGCACTGGGACCGCACCGAGAGGCATCTTGGGCAGAAAGAGCTCCAACAGTGGAGTCTCTTTGGGCATGCTGGAGTCTCGCAAGGGCTCCCGAAAGAACTCTTCGACCAGTGGCAGCGGAACTACGCAGTCTTCCTCGAGAAAGAGCTCCCATGGTAGCATCAGCATCTCGAGCAGCAGCTGCTCGGTCAACAGCGATGTGGAGGAGGTTGTGGTGTCCGCTAAGAGGCTAAAGGAAGAGCCAGAGACGCACACACCACACACGCAGACGATAAGCATTGTCAAGGCGGAGTCTGTGTCCAACGAGGACTTTGAACGGTCGCTGCGATGCGAGGAGACGCTTGCCCAGTCGCCAGAGTCCTCTACCCCCAGTTCCTCCTCGTCCACGGGTCCTTCGAGGCGGTCTGTCCCTCTCCCCACGCAGAACGGCGAGCACCAGTCCACGAAGCACAAAACGCCCTTCGTGCTGGTTCCCACGCCCCCGGCTGGAGCCAAGGCCACCTCCATGAAGATGGCGATGCTAAACCACCTGCAGATGTTGCGTTGGCGACCCCAGCAGCCGGGCAGCCTGCACAACTCCTCGCTGCGCTTCGACCTCAATCGCTACAGCCTGCTGCAGCTGAACGAGAGATGCGAGCCGCGCCAGGGTCCCGCCAGCTACTTTGAGCGAGCCCTCTTCGACCGTCCCGGCCGCCGGCCCACCGAGAGCCTCCATCCGCTGCTGTATCTGTGCCAGCGATGCAATTGCCATGGCCCTGCCGCCGATTTTCTGGCGCCACGTGAGTAATAGGGTTCCAAGGGGTGTCACGTTGGAGGGAATCATCAATCAATCTAATCGTCTCTCTTTATCCACAGATTACTGCTCCGTGGGCTGTGTGCGACGAGCGCAGAAGAGACGCATGCCCGCCATAACCATTTCCCAGAGCAAGGTGCCGAAGAAGGCGACAACGCAGCAGCAGCAGCAGCAACAGCAGCTACAGCAGCACCAGCGGGAGCGGGAGCAACAGCGGGAGCGGGAGCAACACCAGCAGCAGCGGGCCAGCCGGCTCCAGGTGGAGTGGACGCAGAGCAGGGGCCCCAAGAATCCCTTCCGCTGGACCGAGTACATGGAGGCGCATGGCCCCGAGCTGACGGCGCCCATCCACCTGTTCCTCAATCCTTTTCCACGCAACGCCAACTGCTTCGAGCGTGGCATGAAGCTGGAGGCCATCGATCCGGAGAACTGTTCCCTCTTCTGCGTGTGCACCGTGGCGGAGGTGCGGGGCTATCGGCTGAAGCTCAGCTTCGATGGCTACTCCAGCATGTACGACTTCTGGGTGAACGCCGACTCGCTGGACATCTTTCCGCCCGGCTGGTGCGAGAGCACAAATCGCATACTGCAGGCCCCCAGGGGCTACTGCTCGCTGCGTTGGAACTGGAGCCGCTACCTGGTAAAGACCAACGCCAAGGCGGCACCCCGAGTGCTCTTCACGCACTTGAACCATACGCCGTATAAGCGCGAGAATCGATTCCGACGTGGCATGCATCTGGAGGCGGAGGACCTCAACGACACAGGCAAGATCTGTGTGGCCACGGTGGCGGACATACTGGACGAGCGAATACGCGTCCACTTCAATGGCTGGGACGACTGCTACGACTTCTGGGTGCACATCAGCTCCCCGTACATCCATCCGTGCGGCTGGCATGCCGGCCGCCAGCAGCTGATTGTGCCCCCCAGCTACCACAACACCGTCTTCAGCTGGGAGGACTTCATGCGCCGCAAGGGTGGGATCGCCGCTTCCGAGGATCTGTTCTCGCCGCGGCAGCCCATGGACTTTCAGGCGCGCATGAAGCTCGAGGTGGTGGATCAGAGGAATCCCTGTCTCATCCGTCCGGCCACGGTGGTCATCCGAAAGGGGTACCGGGTGCAGCTGCATCTGGACTGCTGGCCCAGCGAGTACTATTTCTGGCTGGAGGACGACAGCCCCGACCTGCATCCCATTGGCTGGTGCGAGGCCACCCAGCACGAGCTGGAGGCGCCGCCCGGCTTCCTCCAGGCCCCGGCCCAGATGCCCTGCGATCTGGACGGCTGTCGCGGCTTCGGCAATGCCAAGCGCTTCAACCTCAACGTCCACGCGCTGCCCGACTGCTGTCCTTATGCACCCGTGAACTGGCGCCAGTGGCGCTCCAAAACGGTGAAGCCTCCACGCGTGGCCCCCGATCAGATTAGTCGGGCACCGCTCCGCGAGCCAAAGAAGATATCGGCTGGGAATATGCTCACGATGCCGCTGCCGATCTTTGGGAACGGGTTCAGGCGGGAGGGACTGCCGGAGCTGGTCATCGAAGCGCAGCTGGAGGAGCAGGACGACGCTCAGATGGTCATCGAGGACGAGTGCATGCTGGAGGACGACGTTCAGATGGTCATCAAGGAAGAACGCATCGAGAATGAGCGGCCACAGCTGGTCGTCAAGTTGGAGCCCAAAATTGAAGCCAAGCCAGAGACCAAGCCCAAACGCAGGGAGACGATACCCAGGGCCAATGAGATAATCAAAGAGGAGTCCAAGGCGATCAAAGAGGAACAAAAGCCCAAGCCCAAGGAGAGGATACTCAAACGAAAGGATGAAACGACAGCCAAAGCCAAGGATACAATGCCCAAACAGAAGGATATCCAGACGATATCCAAAGCTAAGGAGACGATACCCAAAGCTAAGGAGACGATACCCAAAGCTAAAGAGACGATACCCAAAGCCAAAGAGGTAAAGTCCACAGTCAAGGAAGCAAAGTCCACTCCAAAGGAGACAAAGATCGTTCCCAAGGATCCAAAACCCAATCGCAAGGAGCCCAAACCCACTCCCAAAGAGACAAAACCCACGGCCAGGGAGAAAGAAGCGAAATCCACTCCCAAAGAGAAGGAAACAAAACCCACTGCTCCCAAGGGAAAGGAGACGAAAGGACCTGCTGTCTCTGTCCGTAAAGTGCAAGTGGAGGAGCCGGTGGATCCTCGCTGCATCACCATTGCCATGCCCATTGTGAAGGACTATGGGCCCCAGTTCGTGCGTAACTATCGTCTCTGGCAGAAGAACAGCGCGTTTGCTTTGAGCAAGATCAAGAGCAATCCACTCTACTGGACCAACTGGGATGTGTACGAGTACGTGGAGCGTGCCCTCGACTCCCGCCGCATTGCGCAGACCGATCTTCGACCAGGACATCGATGGACGGGCGCTGCTCATGCTGGGACGCGAGGATATGAGCAATCATCTGCTGCTAAAGAAGGGCCCCGCCGTGAAGCTATTCTCGCACATTATCAACCTTCGCATTGCGGTGGTCTGCAAGTTCAACATGTCCTGCACGGGCATGGACATTGGCAACATCGATGCTGTCGACGCCCAAAAGCAGAAAAAGGACAAGAAGGAACGGGTCGAACCCAAACAGATGCCCAGGGAGAAGCAGCCACAGAAGCCAAGGGAGAAACAGCCACAGATACAGCAACAGCCACAGCGGAAGAATCCTCAGCAGAATATGAGCAGCAGCAGCTATGAGCTGTTAGACGAGTCGTCGGACAATGATTTTGATGAGGATGATGACAGCGACGCTGTATGCGACAGCTTAAACGAACTGGAAGTGGAGGAAGAACAGCATGTCGATGATAATGAGGATGAGGAGGACGATGAGTTGGACAACGAGGATTTTCAGAGCATCAATCCCAGCAGCTTGGCCCACGATGACAATGACGATGATTCGGATTTGGTGATGCTGCCGCCGCTCAAGGCGCGGCGTTGCATGACCACAGCATCGTAGGCGTCCCGCCACTCCCCTCCGTTCCGTTGATTAATTTTTTGTAAGATTTTTGTTGTTGCATCTTGGCATATTTGCATATTGGCACACGTTTGCGGGTATTAATATTATGTAATATTATAAAATAGTATTTAAATGTTTAAGCCAATTCGTAAAGCGATAATTTTGATTTATCAAATATATATATATCCAAATCTCAATAAAGAACCGACGCCCCCACGTCAAAGCTTGTTAACGGCTGTCGTTCTTGCTGGGCTTCTGCTTCTCCACATCCACACCACAACCACAGCCAGCGCTGGTTGACTTTCCGCCTCGAGAGCCTTTCGAGTGGCTTCGAATGGAGGAACTGGGTCCACAACCACAATCCAGGTTGTAATGTTGCTTCACCACGACTATGGAGTTGTTTTCTGCCTTCTGACAGGCTCCACAACCACAATCGATGTTAATATCTTGCTTCACCACGGCTTTAGAGCCGTTCGAGGGATTCGATTGCTTGGAAGAACTAGCCATACGATCGTTCTCCTGCTTCACCACGACTCTAGGACCGATCTCTGCCTTCTGCACGACTCCACAGCCACAATCCAAGTTGCTGTTTTGCTTCACCACGGCTCTAGAGCCGTTCGATTGATTCGATTGCTTGGAAGAACTGGCCATAGTCGCGTTCTCCTGTGGCACTACTCCACAGCCACAGCCACAATCCAAGTTGCTATTTTGCTTCAAAACGACTCGAGAGCCGTTCGGGTGATTCGATTGCTTGGAAGAACTGGCCATAGTCGCGTTCTCCTGTGGCACTTCTCCACAGCCACAATCCAAGTTGCTATTTTGCTTCAAAACGACTCGAGAGCCGTTCGAGTGATTCGATTGCTTGGAAGAACTGGCCATTGGATCGCGTTCTCCTGTGGCACTACTCCACAGCCACAGCCACAATCCAAGTTGCTATTTTGCTTCAAATCGACTCGAGAGCCGTTCGAGTGATTCGATTGCTTGGAAGAACTGGCCATAGTCGCGTTCTCCTGTGGCACTACTCCACAGCCACAGCCACAGCCACTGACCATTGGATCGTTCTCTGGCTGCACCACGACACTAGGGCAGCTCTCTAGATTCTGGACGACTCCACAACCACAATCCATGTTGCCATCTTGCTCCAAAACGACTCGAGAGCAGTTCGAGTGATTTGAATGGTTCGACTGCTTGGACGATCTGGCCATAGGATCTTTCTCCTGTTTCGCCTCCTCCTGCAGTTCAATTGGAGAGCAATCAACGAACAGTTGGTTGGAGCCACAGCAACACAGATCGTTTGGTTCCTTCTGCTCGGGTGAACAAGCACAATCCAGGTTGTTCTGCTCCTCCGCCTGGTCTGCATCGTTTTCTTTCGTTTCGTTCGCACCTCTTCGGATGGCTAGAGAACCATCCACCGCGAAATAGACATTTTCAAAGAGTCGGGCCACCTCAACGAACTGCTGGAAGCGCTCCATGTCACAGTAGCGCAGGTGGTTAGCCACTTGGTACTTCTTGAGGGCCACCAGCAGTTCCGAGTCGGGCACGATCTCCTCGGCCTTCAGGATGATCATCAGAGCCTTAAGCTCGCGCACGTTCAGTCGCAGGAATACATTTTCGTTCAACACTCTGGTGGCAATGGGGAGGATTTTCTGGCAGAAAGGATCAAGGTTATGAAGGATATGAAAGAGGATATAGCTAGAGGGAGTTAGTTACCTTTGCCACCAGATCCATTATGACAGGGCTGTTGTGTTGATTGGCCAGATGAAATATCTGCAGCACCACCTCCATGGGCCACTCCTGGGCGGACAGCTTGGTGAGGTAGCAGTCGATGAAGTCGTACATCTTGTGCTTCATGGCCAGGCGCATCAGTTCGCCGCACATCTCCAGGTTGATGGCGTTACACACCTCGTACGTGTAGATGTACAGGATGAGCGCCTCGTACGCCTGCGGCGAGGCATCGTCCAAGTCGATCACTCGATGGTTCCGCTCAAAGCACGGCGATCTGCACAGCCGCCCAAACTCCTCCGAGGCGGAGACAAGCAGGAACTGATGGCATCTGAACACGCGATGGCACCTGCTGCTCCTGTCCGAATACCAGACGCGCACCTCGCAGTCAGACAGCTGTCCCGACCGCAGCATATCCAAACGACGCAATTTGCAGTTCATTCTAGAATCTTTGAATTTCGAAATGCCAAAAAATGTGAAAGACAAAATTTTGATGAACAGAAATGAAAGTGTTTATTGGTGTGGAAACAGACACATTGAATAAAGGGAATTTTCGGAAATGGGAATGGCAGAATGCAGCAGGCCAGGAGATAAAGCTCCAGCTCGACTGTTACAAGATTTTCATTTGTTTGTTTCTGGCAGGCAGTTTGTTCAAACGTTTTGGCAACACAAATCAAAATTAATTCCAATGTCTCAGCATCAGCATACCAGCAACCACGAACATGTGGGCAGCAGTGCTGCGGTGCCGTTCAACTGTTTAAATCAGCCATCGATGGACGTGATGGTGCAGGATCCGACGGCCGATGAAATGAGCATGAACTCGAGCCGAATCCGGAGACTCGAGTACTTGCGCCGGGCCATCGACAGCGACTGCCAGATCCATGTGCAGAACATGACCGTGGCGCCAAACGGACAGGCGGGCAGCGTGTGCTACAGGACGTTCGACTGTCATCGCATATTCCTGGCCACATCCTCGGAGAAGATGGAGACGGATGTGTTCAAGAACGCGCAGTACAACGGCGTGCTGCAGATGAACGGCGTCTCGCCGGAGAGCGTGCAGATCTTCCTCGAGTACATCTACACTTTCGAAGTGGACTCGCCGCATGTCGCGCTGAAAATCATTGGGGACATATTCATTCTATCGAATGCCTACAACATGCCCGAGCTGATGGCCGCCTTCTTTGAGAAAGTTAAGCAGCAGGATTGGCCTCTGGTGGATGTAATCCCAGCCTTCGATTTGGCGTTTCGGCAATGCGGCATGGCAGAGCTGGAGCAGCTATGCCTGGATGTAAGTGGAGCATCACAATATATTTGTACATTCTATACACCCCATTCTATCTTAGATAATTATACCCAACGCAATGCTGCTGATCAACGAACGGAGCCTCATGAATCTACAGCTGTACGCCATCAACTACTTGATTCAACTATGGATGGCGGCGGATGCAGTGCCAAGGGAACGACTGATCAAGCTGCTTCAGGACTACCAGGCGGCGAATGGTCTCAATTTCAACAATGTTGTGAAATTTCCTCATTTCACAAAGATCATTCAGCACTTTCCAGGCATCCTGCTAGGTGCTGAGGGGTCCATAATACAGTAAATAAATTTGGCAGTGCCAAAGGAACGACTGATGGCATCTAATTTTTACAATGGACAAGTTCCTAAAAGGTTTCAATGGTTTTTTAATTGTTTTTCATTCAAAGTTTATATTCCTCGATTTTGATATTCCGTTTAATATTACTAGCTAGCTGGGACTCTCAGCCCTAAACAAATAATTTTATCCAATTCCTCAATGAATTTTGTTCAGGATTTGGCTAGTTTTCAGATCTATTTTAGTGGATTGTTTACATAAAAAGGTTCAAACAAAAACGGCCAAAGCATAAAACGTAAATGTTGACTAAATGTGACGTCAGTGTTGTTGGTCAAACCCATACCTTATTTCTTGTTATTGATGTTAAATGTTTTGTTCCAAGCTCTATTGAAACATTATTTATGATTTTGTCCTAGATTGACATGTTTTTTACCTATTACCTACCTATTTACCTATTACCTAGTTTCTGCATTAATTGGAGCCTGAAATTACAAACAATATCTCAAGTCCATAATATCCATTTTCCCAAGGTATGCAGATTGTTGCTCATTCCGTGCCAAAGTTGCACAACAATGCTGCTACTTCATTTCCCCTTGTTGCTGAATTTTTTCCCATACAAATCAAATGTATCTTACGGGAACGTCGCAGCAATGAATCTACGTTTCATACGGTTCTCGTTAAGAACATGCGGCTCACACCACGAAAAGGAGGCGAAAGTCACCACGAAAACGCTCTCTTCACCTCAAAAAAGATAGCAAATTTTTTAAAACCCACCACGAATTGAGAGCGAATATCGATATTTTTGTACGCTAAATGGAGGTTGGCGGTCATTTTGAAAATTATCTTAAAATATTGAAAAATAAATATTTTATTTGATTTGTTTTGTCGGGGCTGTCCAGTGTGACTGGAACCTCAGATATATTGTATATGCCACCATGATATTTTGCTACCCGTTTCATTACCGATTCGCTTTGAACCGATCTGGCGGCCCTAAAGACAAAAGTAGGCAACAAAGAAGAAGAAGATACATTTTCCGCAAATAGGAAGAAGAAGAAAAAAATATTTTCCGCAAAAAGGAAGAAGAGCCTCTGCGGAAAATTTTGATAATAAATTATTTTGATTTTTATTGGCGCTGCCAACTCCTTCCATTTGCGGTATTTTATAGGCAGTTGGTATTTTTTTTGCGTCAGTTTGCATCGTGTGCGCCGCATCAGTGATGCCAGAATTACGCAGTCAGCACAAGCTAGAATCGAAACAAGATGCCCAAAATAGCTAAACTGAAAAAAATAGGCTACAAATTATACTATTATATACACCCAAAACAAAATTTTTTGTGGTTTTGAGTTTTTGCATTTGAATATGTACTAAAAAGCATTTTGAAAATTTTATAATCAGTTCCACTTAAAAAAAAGGTGCTAGATACAGCTTGAAATATGCTGAACGAGCAGCACTGTTGTGGTGCGCCGCATTGGATTTGGATACACTGGTGCGCCATTTTCCTTGTTTGACATATGAAGCCGAGTTACAGTGGCCAGAAAAAGTTATAAATTGCACATTGCAAAAAGTGTAGATAATTAATTAAAAGTGCCAAGCGAGCCGTTTAGCAGACCCAAGTGATGTGCGTTCTTATTGTAGCAATGAAAGGCAGTTAATTGTTGTATAAAACGTGATTTAGATTGTCGTGTGCCCAACGTCGGGTCCGGGGGCAGCAGATTCCGAATAAATATAACAAAAGAGGCGCCATTCCTGAGAACCCAAAGGCCCATCCAGTGCATCAGATAAAAAGTAATGCAAACGCATAAACCACATGTTTCATGGGGTATTATATTGCCCGTTTACACGAGTATTAAACAGTTTTTTGTGGCGCATGTTTTGTTTTTTCGTGCACTGTACACCAGTGTGTAGTCAGTGCGTTTTGTGTTTGTGTGTGTGTGTACACATTTTAGGCGGTAATGGTATGAGGCCCTGGCCGCCAGCCGATACCGCGATAACTATCGCCATCGATAAGCGCACGCTAACGTCTGTTTTGTTTTTATTTTTCAGTTCATGTCGATATAAAAAAGCGCACACATCATTTGTCCATTGAATAAAGTATAAAATGGAGGAAATATCCAGTTTAGACTCTTTCGGGCCAGACTCCAATGCCCGGCCAGAGACAGAAACGCCCCGACCCGAGGAGCAGAGCCCCCGCGGAGAAGTCCTCGGGGAGGAGGAGCAAGCGCCCATTGTGGCCGAACAGGACACCCCCGCCTCACCGCCTGCGGAAGATGCTGCTGGAAGTGTCGGGCACGTGGCGGTGGAAGTGCCCAATCCCAACGAAGACTCTGAGGAGGCACCCGCCGCCGCCGCCGTTGGGTCAGTCGAAAAGGATGCCGCGGAGCCAGATGAAGACTTTGATCAAATATCGGAGGGCTCCCTGGACGCGTACGATAATCAGTCGCAAGAGAAAGCAGAAAAACCCGCCACTCCACCTCCCCCCCAGCAAGACACAGCAGCAGAGGGAGCGGCAGAGCCAGAGGCAGACGCGGAAGCGCCAGAGGCAGACACGGACGCGGCAACACCATTATCAGCCGAGCCAGCAGCCGATGATGCTGACCCTCCGGAGGCCGAAGTACAGCCCGAAGCTGAAGCACAGCCCGAAGCTGAGGCTGGCGATGAAGAGGAGCAGGATGATTGCGAGGAAGCTAGCATGGCGGAGGCAACCGATGAAGCCGATGCCCTGAAGCTCACGGATGCTGCGAGCGAACAGGAGGCAGATGCAGTCGACGGTGCTCCGGCCTCCAATGAAGCCATGGACGTGGATGAAGGCGAAGCGGCCACCACTGTAGATTCGCCGCACGAGACAGAGGTCGCAGACGATGTGGAAATGCGCTCCCCGGGTGAGGACGACTCTCACCCGGCTGACGATACTGAGCCGCCCGAGGGTCGGGACGAGGTAGACGACAGCTTTGAGGATCATGATGACGCTGCCGATCCGGACGAGGCAGAGGGCGAAGTTCCTGCAGAAGATGAGGACAATGCAGATGCCGACGCGGACGCGGAACCCGAAGAAGCAGCAGAAGATGCCGGCGAGGCTGAGCATGGCGATGGTAGGCCGAAAAATGAGTTTTATCCAATGAAATGAAATTCAAAGGTGCTTTGAAATATTCCAGATACCGTCGAGAATGTGCTGGAACCCGAGGAATCGGATGTGTGCCTCATTCCCGATGACAACGAGACGGAGGTGACCGAAGCGGAGAAGGAATGGGCCCGGGAGAACGCCGAGAAGGCTGCCGAGGAGGAGATAGCCGCCGAGCAGGCCAGCTCCAAGACGCCAGAGAGCGATGGGCAAACAGCCAATGCCGATCCTGCTGACCCAGAGGATGGCGACACTGCCGCTGCAGCAGCAGAGCCCACAGAAGACGCGACAGCTGCCCCTCCGAATGGTATGTAATCCGACGAAGCTTTGATTTCTATCTGTCCCCCTGCACCTTGTCTTTCCATTGTCCAGATGCTCAGGCTGATGCACCAGCTGGGACTCAGCCGACGGCATCAGAGGGTGCTGAAGGTGAGTTGAGGATTAGAATGGGATACGCACTGTCCATGGCGCCTGCTAATGCTTATCTACTCTCCTCGCTCTTTTAGATGACGTGCAGGACTCGCTGGCCAACGACGAGGAGGGTGCTGGCGATGCCCCTGACGCTGATGAGCCGACGGCCGAGGAGGCGGCCAGTGCCACAGCGGGCGAGGCAGGAGCCCCGCCCAAGATCATCATCAGCTGGGTGGTGGGCAGCGTGCAGACTTGTCGGCAGTGTGGCATCGAGAAGAGCTGCGGCTTTCGGTACAAGCGGCCAGAGGAGCCCAAGGAGGACGAGCAGGAGGTACCCGAGGAGTCGGCGGCATCTGTGAATGAGTATCTGTGCGACCAGACCTGCTGCACGGCGCTGTTGGGCGAGCAGCCGGGAAAATATTTCGTTAGACGCAAGAAATTCCTAGTCGAGGAGGTTGCCGGGTCCGGTGCGGATAGCAGTGAGGAGACCCCAGTGGAGGTGGAAGCAGAAGGGAGCGAGACGACGGCAGAGGGAGAGGCAACAAGGACGGAGCTACAGCAACGCGACTGCCTGCAGTGCAAGGAGCAGACAAAATGCAAATACCTCATCAGGCAGGACCAGGACACGTACTACATATGCAACGACGACTGCTTCAATCTGCTGAATGCCGAGGAGCCTGACAAGTACAAGCTGAAGCGGCACTCGATCCGAGTGCGCAACATCGGCGCCACCACCATACAGGCCTCCGCCAAGAGGCCAGAGAGCAGCGTGGTGGCCCGCACGAACGTCGAGGCGGAGGCCACCCGACTGGATCGCATTGAGAGCTTCCGGCGGCGCTGTGCCGACTGCACGACTGAGATAGACGTGAGCGAACGCCAGCTTATGTGGGAGACGATGGACTTCTGCAACGAGGTGTGCCTGCGCAGCTACCAACTGAGCATTGGCTCCAAGTGCGAGACGTGCAAGCAGGATGTGAGCTCCATAGCCCTGGGCAAGTACTGCGTGAGGTTCGGGTTCGAGGTGAGGCAGTTCTGCTGCGCCGCATGCCTGAACACCTTCAAGAAGGGCCTGAAGACGTGCTCCTGCTGCCAGAAGGACATCAGCAGCGGGCAGGAGGGCTTCCTGGCGCCGGTGGGCGACAAGGATCAGTTCAAGGACTTCTGCTCGCAGGTGTGCCTGCGCCGTTACGACTGCATGTGCAATCCCAAGAAGAAGCTGCGCACGGACATGTGCGGCGTGTGCAACAACGAGAAGCAGGTGCGCGTGGAGATGCTGCTCGACGACAAGGAGCACTACTTCTGCTCGAATCCGTGCTTCTCGGCCTTCAAGTTTGTGAGCAACGTGAACGCCGACCCCTGCGCCATGTGCTCCAAGTACTTTGAGCGCAAGAGCGCCGAGGCCTACACCATCTACAGCGACCAGCAGGCACCAAAAGTGTTCTGCTCGCGCATCTGCATCAACGTGTACATCATCGTGAATCGGCACATCGTCTCCTGTCAGTGGTGCAAGGTCAAGAAATACAATTTCGATATGATCTACCAGCTGGCCAGCGACCAGGAGACCCTCACTTGCTCCATCAACTGCCTCACCATGCACGGCGTCAGCTGCAACATCTCCGCCCGTGCTGTGACCAAATGCGACAACTGTAGCCAGTTCAATACGCCCCAGTACCACCTTACCATGTCCGATGCCTCCATGCGCAACTTTTGTACATATCAGTGCGTGATGCAGTTCCAGAATCAGTTCTCCCGCACACCCCTCACTTTGGACAGCGACACCCAGCCGAGCAGCAGCAGCAAATCGCAGCAGTCAGCGTCCACCGGACTGCTGCGCGGCGGCAACAAGAATTCCACGGCACCCTTTCCCACGGGTCTGCCCAAGCGCGTCAAGTTAAAGCTGTCGGTAAGTGATCCTATTCCTCCCACTCGAAACCCCTCCCCGCCCATTGGCTACGGAAACGCGAGAAGTTACGTTTTCTTTTTTAGCGACGTCACTTAGCGATTTTCCGAATCCCTAAATTCAAATTCAAATTCAAATAGCAGGTCGCAAGTGTACACACACTGCTTGAATATAACAATTATTTCCGCCTATGGAGAGGGCAGTGTGCAAAAACACCCAAATGCAGAACCGATAACAACAGTGAAAAATCATACCTGGAGATGACCAACGTCTTCTTAATTCTGCGCACCAAAAGGCAGCTACATATTTCTGATCCGATCTCTGTACTTCTGCTTGTAGAACGCCAAAAACAATTCGATGCCCGCCAACAAGAAATCCATCGGAAGCGGCACCGTGGTGCCAGTCATAGCAAATGTCACATCGCTGGCCACCGAGAACGACGCGCGCGGAGCTATGCGTCGCAAGCGTGGTCGCAAGCTAGACTCTCCGCCGCCGCTGGCCATGATTTCGAGTAGCCAAGGATCCACCCAAGTGGGCTCGGTGGGTCGTGGGCGACCACGCAAGCACGTAGACTATGGGACGCGCTCGCCGTCGCCAGGACTGGCAGGCGGCTCAACAGGCGGGCTGATCGCTGCCCGTCGAAACACGGCCACAGGCAGCAGCATCATTGATTTTGCGGCCCCCATCACTGAGACGAAGATCATCACGGTGCCGCCGTACCCAAAGGCCGTGCGCAATGTAAACATCAGCTGCAAGCCCATGATGGTGTCCACGGGCGAGCAGTGCACGCCGTCGATGCGAGACTGCGCAACGCAGACGGACAAGGACTATTCCAACAAGGTGTTGATTCCAGTGCCAGTGCCGATATTTGTGCCACAGCCCATGTACATGTACTCGGCACCGTTTCCCGTGCCGGTGCCCATACCGCTGCCCATACCCGTGCCGATCTTCATACCCACCACTCGCAACACCGCCCAGGGTATCCTCAAGGAGATCAAGAAGATCCAGGACAAGATGCCCGAGGATCCGCTCGAGGCCGAGTTGCTTATGATGGCCGAAATGGTGGCCGAGGAGAAGCACGACTCGGACTCTGATTCGGACAACGAAATCAAGCCGGATCCGGGCCTGGTCAACCTGCAGTACCAGAACAGCCTCGAGTCCGTCAACCAGCAGCAGCAGCAGCAGGTCGTCGATGTCAGCGGCGCCGGTCACAATCCCTATGGCGACGACATGCTCCAGATTGCCCTCAAAATGGCCACGGCCGACTACGATAATCATCACCAATCGTCAACTGTCGACCTGGAGTCGTCAATGACGGCCAACACGATCACCAATCAATCCCCCATGGGACACGACGCAATGGGACAAATGAGTGTCCACCATTTGGATCAGCAGCACCACATGCTGGATGCTTCAAGCCGGTAAGTCATACATAAAATCCGATCGCTAAAGGAGAGTTGTAACTAAATTGTACTCTCGTTTCAGTTCTCCCCGTGGCCGCAAGCGAGGCGGTGGCTCTGTCATGGACTCACCGAATCGGAACAGCCGTTCGCCAGTGAAGAGACCGCGCGGAAACGAAATGGATCACTCGGCACTGCAGCTGCAGTCACAGCAGGCCCAGCAGCCGCAGGAGAAGCCCGATGCCCAGATGTTCCTCAAGTACACGTTCGGCGTGAATGCGTGGAAGCAGTGGGTGATGACCAAGAATGCGGATATCGAGAAGAGTTCGATGCGCAGGCGACCCTTCAAAACGGAACTGCTGCAAATGACTGCCGACGAGCTGAACTACTCCCTCTGTCTCTTTGTGAAGGAGGTGCGCAAGCCAAATGGCACGGAATATGCACCCGATACAATCTATTATCTTGTTTTGGGTAAGCTAACGACTCATACATTGCCAAATGGTCTCTATAACCTGTACGCTCTGCTCTTGCAGGAATTCAGCAATATTTATATGTCAATGGACGTATTGACAACATCTTTTATGATGCATATTATGAACGATTCACGGAGTGCCTGGATGAGGTGGCCCGCAAGTTCTCTGTACTCTACAATGATTCCCGTAAGTCCAACATGAAGTTGTCTCTCTATGTGCAGAGTATTTATTAGCATTTTTCTTCATGCACAGAATATATTGTTACTCGCGTGGAGGAAGAGCATCTGTGGGAGTGCAAACAATTGGGAGCCCATTCGCCGCACGTGCTGCTCAGCACACTGATGTTTTTCAACACAAAGCACTTTAATCTGACGGTAAGGCCCGGCCTACGCTTAAGCCTATTTTTGAGCCATTCTTAATACCCTGTGATGTTTTTTTTAGACCGTGGAGGAGCACATGCAGTTATCCTTCTCGCACATAATGAAGCACTGGAAGCGCTCATCGCAGAATTCTAAAGTTCCTGGGTCACGAAATGTGCTCTTACGTTTTTATCCACCGCAGGCGGGTCTGGGTAAGTCACATATCATAATCGAAATCATAACCAGAATGATTACTAATGGTTTCACGTATTAGATGCTAATCCGCGGAAGAAGAAGGTATACGAGCAGCAGGAGAACGAGGAGAATCCCCTGCGCTGTCCCGTCCGTCTTTACGAATTTTATCTATCAAAATGGTAAGTGGATTGGATCGTATAGTCCTGCTCAAGATCATTCCTCTAACGAAAATTTTGTTCTCTGTTTACAGTCCGGAGAGCGTGAAGACACGCAACGATGTGTTTTATCTGCAGCCCGAGCGTTCGTGTGTGCCCGATTCGCCCGTTTGGTACTCGACGCAGGCTCTCGGCCAGGACGCTCTACAGCGCATGCTGCATCGCGTGAAAATGGTGAAGGAGATCAACATAGCGCTATTGACGACTTAATGTTTAGTTGGGCGGCAGCAGCAGATAAGATGCATCAGCATCAGCAGCATATATCAATGTGTATGTGCGAGGATTATTATTGCCTGGCAAATGAGGTCTGAATCGGAGGAGTACTTTTCAGCTTCGTGCTTAGCACGAGCTTGTTTGCGGGCAAAACCAATTAGAGCTAAACGACAGAGAGAAAGAGAGAGGATAGGCCTAGGCCCTCGCGCCAAGGGAGCTTGAAAGTGCTATACCATAAATTCTGTTTTTAATTTACTTTTATATTTTAATTTCCTTTTATATTTTAATTTTCTTTTTGTATTCATTTTGGACAGCGTCGAGAGAGGGCGTCATAAGGAGTGGAGTTGTATAAATTTTAAACGATAACCAAGTCCCATCCTAATCTCAATTGAAATAATTCGAAAATAATACGATTAACAATTCATTGACACGAAGACACGCAACAATTTCATTAGTTTTAGGTTCTCTGAAGGCAGAAAGTACACACACACACACACAACCACACATTTTTAGTCATTAATTAGATTGTGTTTAGCGTTAAGCAGATGAAGGCAGTATGTATGATGCGCCCCGTCAGAGGAGGAAGGGGATAGCTATCCAGCTGGATAGACAGGATAGCCCCTACCCTACCCAACCCTTACCTAGCACCTAGTAGCACTAGCCCCTTCAATTTTAAGTGCATGTATGTATGTACATAAACATAAATAGACCCATAAACGACTATAAATAGGATACAAAACAGTAACAATTTAGCTGCTTAGCTGTTGTTGTAAGTGTTTACTTTTAAAATGCTGTACTGTACTCTCCTTAATTGCAACAACATCCATATATCCAACAAATACATACATACTTTGAAATGAAACTAAATGCTACCGGGAGATCCATTCCATCACCTTCTAGCGCTGGCACACATGCTTGCAAAAAGTTTAATTGATGAGCACTGATGACAACTGGTACGTTTAATGGCCACAAGTGGGTGCTCGGAATTTATTCATACAAAAATTAATGCGATTCTTTATCCTGCGTGTAATACATGTGAATCGTGAATCGGATTGGTTTAGATTGGGGCCACTCTTCTTGGGGGGGCTCTTCGGCTAGCGTATACAAAACAGATGGATCTAATAGTATATATATATATAATATTTAAAGATATCTTCGCTTGGTCATGCTCTCTGTGTGTCTGTGTCGTGCGGATGAGGCTCTTTGTTTTCTTGTCTTTTTTTTTTGTAGTATCAACACTGCTGCTGCCGCCGGTTTTAGATCAGCGTCTCCTCCATTCCGTTTACCACTCGGCGTCTCCATTGGACTTCTGGAACACATAGTCCTTGCCCCGCATGTTCATGATGCCATCTTTGAGATAGAATTTCCATTTGTTGCGGGACCGAGTGATCTTAAAGAAAGGAGAGAATGTTTATAATAAATATGATTATAAATCTAGATCAATCCATACCTTGTCGTACTGGCAAACGATGACGTTATCTGTGTCAAACGTTTCTGTAGAATCTTCATCGGTGACATCGTCCTCGCTGTTGAGGGGCTCCTCCTCGGCGGCATCCTCGTGCTCCACATCCTCGTCATCGTCCTTGTCCAGATCATCGTCATCATCGTTGTCGATGTTGTCGTCACTCTCCTCGCTCTCATCCTCATCGGACGAGTCCAGGGCGCCATCCAGCTGCTTTGAAGCACCCATATTTTCTAGTTTTTGCATCACATTTGATTAGCACTAGCTATGGGATAGGATATATATGGACTCACTCTGGATATTGGCACTGGTGAGTGCCGCATTCACGTGTTGCTGCAGCACTGAGGAGGCCAGGGTGGTGGGCAACGTCATGATGGATGAAATCAGATGGGCTGTAAGTATTTGGGTGAGCTGATTCTCCTGCAGCGCCGATGCGGGCACTTGTATGGTGAGAACACGAGATTCCGAGCTGCCCGAACCGGCCGTCGAAGGCAGTGTAATCTGAAATCGAACCATAAGTCGTACCATAGCCAAACATCATGTCATTTAGGTCTCTCACATTCACGGGCATAATGCGGTTGGGGTCCAGCGAGGCCACAATTGGAATGGGTGTCTGTCCACCGCCGGATGCTTGTTGTCTCTGGGGCATGGATCCCCCCGACGTGGGATGCAGTGGCGGAGGATTCTGTGACGTGACTTCCTGTTTGATGGGCATCTGTCCGTTCTTTAGGCCACTCCCAGCAGCAGCAGCAGCTGCGGGCGACTTTGCCGCCATCGCCGACGCCGAGGAGCTGCTCTGTGAAGTGGCTGCGGCGGCCTTCTTGGCCTTGGCATTGGCAGCCTGCAAGTGTTTCGAAGATTAGTCAAGGGGTGTGTTCTGTGGGGGAGGACTCTCACTGGCAGACAAAAGGCATTTAGCATTACCTTGGTGCTCTGCAGTTGAGGCATGTGCGTATGCGTATGGGTGTAGATAGATAAATAGATAGATAGACAGATGTGTGTGGCATGTAGTGGGGGGTGCGTTCATGATCATGTTGATGGGGGCAGCAGGTAAGAAAAGCAGCGCATTAGTCGATGGCGGTGTCGATGTAGCATTGTTGTTTGTAGTTGTTGTTGTTGGAGGACATGGGGAAGATAAATCAAGAGAGATCTTAGTTTTGAAATCTTTCTACCCAGACAGAGTGCAGCAATTGACGACACAAAAAATTAACATACAGAATACGGTTACACATACGAACGAGAATGTCGGGAATGGACGCACAGAATCAACATCGGCGGTGGAGAGGCAACGATCACACACCTTGCTTACCTTTGGATTGTTGGCCACTATTGGCGGCGGATGGGAGCCACCCTCGCTCGGGTCCGGGGTCAATTCAACGGCCTTACTTGCCAGCAGCTTGTTGCGCCAAATCTGCTTCATCTCCTGCAGCACCTGCTCGTCAACGCCCTCGTCCAGGAAGGCATCCCTCACATTTGTGATGACATCCTCGATCACGGCGTGATAGACCTTCAGCTGTTGTGGAAAGGGAGTGGAGTGGCAATGCATTGGGCATGTTAAATTAAATTCGAAATACATAAACAAATATTTATATGAACACACAGCACACACACACACACATACTGCCAGACCAGAGAGTGGAACATTCATATTAATGTGTATTTTCGTACCGGTATCGCAGAGGAGCATTGGACTGACTGTATTTATTATTTTTGCTACAGGCTGCGGCATTGCCTCATTCGTACCCGCTTAATAGAGAAACATACGCAAGTTGTACCTTAGTACCTTATCAGGGCGATAAGAGGGGGCCGCCCCAGTCCGATAGTGTGGCAGGAGAATTAATTCTTTGGGGGAGCTCTCCGATGTGTGCCGAAAACCATAAGAAACACCTACGCCTTTCTTTACGTGGGCGGGGGGTGGAGCGCCTAAAAAAAGTGCAAGGCACTGACACCTACCCACACCACTACACCTACAGCAGACTGACACATGCACGCACACAGGCATGGGATCGACATGGCATACCATTGCATTGGCGCTGCACTAACGGTCCGGTCGTGCTCATGCTCAGGAGAAAACTTTCACTTTCATGAGGATAGGAGGGAGGGGCTCCCCAATCCTCCTTGCCGCTTTTCTTCCATATGGCGGCAGCCAAATTCGAGTGGGCGCCCCCAAAAGGTCTGCCGACAAGAATTCTTACTGGCACATCGCAGCTATCTCTGCAGTCTTTCCACTCACCACAGAGGTTTGGCATAAAGCCATTTGGACCTTTTTCTCCGCCAGCTTGATTCTGTTCTCTTGATTTTGGTACGTAAATTAGGTTTAAGTGAATACAAATTAGCAGAGAAATTAAATACGATGCGCCCGAGACAGTAGTATTTCAGTGTGACTGGCGACTTATCTGGAAAATATACCGCCTGACCCTCGAAAATATACCAAAATATACTGAAATATACATTGTCAATAGTAAAATATACCAAAAATATACTGACGGGTGCGTTGATATTCCTTAATTTTGATGTTCGGTTTAATATTACCAGCTAATTAGCCCTTTTAAACCAAAACAAATAGTTTTATACAACTTCTCAATAAATTTTGTTCAGGATTGGCTAGTTTTCAGAACTCCTTTTCATTGGATTGCTTATATAAAAAGGTTCAAACAAAAGCGGCCAAAGCATAAAACGTAAATGTTGACTAAATGTGACGTCAGTGTTGGTGGTCAACCAAGTTTCTTCTATGCGTATGGACATTTGTATACCTTATTTCTTTAATTGCTGTTAAATTTGTTTTTCCAAGCTCCACTGAAACATAAATAATGATTTTATCCTAGATTGACATGTTTTTTACCTATTAATGCACATGTTTGTGTTTTAAAAATACATTTATCCCGGTTCTGATACCTATTATTGGAACCCGTGAGCTGCAAAATTTCGTTAATTTCTTTCAAAACAGAGACTGAGTAGTTTCTGCATTAATTGGAGACTGAAATTACAAACAATATCTCAAGTCCATAATATCCATTTTCCCAAGGTTTGCAGATTGTTGCTCATTCCGTGTCAAAGTTGCACAACAATGCTGGAACGTCGCAGTAATGAATCTACGTTCCATACGGTCCCGTTAGGAACATGCGGCTCACACCACGAAATGGAGGGGAAACAAAAATTTGCAATGGAAATTCCGATATATCGATGTTTCAAACCATCGATGGTTTTGCAGCCCTAGTCTAGTGTGACCGCGGATTTGTCAATCAAATATACCGCCTGACAACTAGAAATATACCGAACTATACCTTATTATCAAAATATACCGTAAATTAACGAACGGATACGACAAGATGCGGCGTTGATTTTGATATTCGGTTTAAAATTACTAGCTAGTTAGCCCTCTAAGCCCTAAAAAAATAGTTTTACCAAGTCGATTAATCTATTTTCCATAAGGTTGGGTCGTTTTCAGGACTTCTTTTCATTGGATGGCTTATAAAATAAGGTTTAAACAAACTAAGGCAAAGCTTAAAACGTATGTGTAAGTTAGTGTTTTGCAGCACTGTCCTATTGCCAAGAGTTTGTTTTTAATCGACGCCCAACCTCCCCCTCCACAGTGTGCAACAGGTTATCCCGGAATTTCCCCCTTTTGCATCGTGCGAACGCAGCCAGCCCACTATTGCATGAATCAGAGACGGCCAGTTATCCCGCCCCCAAGTGCATGATGAGCGGCTCAGAGACCGCCGAGGCCCAGGGAAACGCCAACAGGACCAGGTCCAGGTCGCACCAAGACGACACCCTGCTGATTAGGCTACTGCCAGTGTCCGCGCGCCATCAGCTCTGTGTCCACTTGGACTCCCTAGATGTGTGGCAGCAGCTGGCCACGGCCGTCAAGCTCTATCCGGAGCAGGTGGATCAGATAAGACACCAGAAAGACCGCGGCCGTTCCCCAGCAAACGAGTTCATGAATATCTGGGGGGGCCAATACAATCACACAGTCCAGAGCCTGTTTGCCCTGTTCAAAAAGTGAGTGCCAATCCGGTGGAGAGAAAGCTATAATAATCCTCACGTCTACCCCTCCTCCAGGCTGAAGCTCCATAACGCCATGCGAATGGTAAAAGACTACGTGAGCGAGGACCTGCACAAGTACATCCCCAGGAGCTTGCCCACCATCAGCGACCTGCGTGCTCCGCCCGACTCCAACTCGAAAATAGACAATGGCCCGCCCTTTCCCTCCTCCTCGGGCGTCAGCAACTCAAACAACAATCGCACAGCGACATCGACGATGAGCGAGGAGATTCCCAGCCTAGAATCTCTAGGAAACATCCACATCAGCACCGTGCAGCGTGCGGCCGAGTCCCTGCTAAAGATCGACTACTCGGAGCTGGAGCGCGCCACGGACAGCTGGTGTCCGGAGAACCGCCTCGGCCAGGGCGGATTCGGCGAGGTCTACAAGGGCGAGTGGAAGCAGCTGGACGTGGCCATCAAGGTGATGAACTACCGCAGTCCCAACATCGACAAAAACCAGGTGGAGCTGCAGCAGAGCTACAACGAGCTCAAGTACCTGAACACCATTCGGCACGACAACATCCTGGCCCTCTACGGCTACAGCATCAACGGCGACAAGCCCTGCCTTGTCTATCAGCTGATGAAGGGCGGATCGCTGGAGAACCGCCTGCGGGCGCACAAATCGCAGCAACCGCTGCCGGCGTTGACATGGATGCAGCGTTTCAGCATTTGCCACGGCACGGCCAAGTAAGTGCAGGCAGCCCCTTCCGCTTCCAGTTGATTAAACCCGAATCCCCTTTTCTAGAGGCATCTACTTTCTGCATACGGCACGCAATACGCCGCTCATCCATGGTGATATTAAGCCCGCCAACATTCTGCTGGATCAGTGCCTGCAGCCCAAGATCGGAGACTTTGGGCTGGCCCGCGAGGGACCCAAGTCCATAAACGCAGTGATGCAGGTGAAGAAGGTGTTTGGCACTAGGATCTACCTGCCGCCAGAGTTCCGCAACTCCAAGCAGCTCAGCACCGGCGTGGATGTGTACAGCTTTGGGATTGTGCTGCTGGAGGTGTTCACCGGGCGCCAGGTGACGGATCGCCTGCCCAAGAACGACCAGCACCATGACCTGCTGCATTATGTCAAGCAGAACTGGGCCCAGTCGCAGCAAAATCGGCTGGAGCTGCTCGACAAACACCTACTCAGGCCGTTGGGCGAGGAGCTGGACATGTGCCTGTGCGCCATCGAGGTGGGCCTCCAGTGCACGGCCCTCGAGACACAGGACAGGCCCTCGATGAACGGTGTGCTCAACAGATTCAAGCCATTTCGCATTGACTTTTGATCCAAGATCTGATAATGTGCCTCTCCCTTATTGTTAATCGTATATTATACATATTCGTTTTATATGCCTCGTGTTTTACGTAGAGCATTGATTCTAGCGTCATTTGTTGGTCCCCTCCTACAATCATTTATAATTCAGCAACACATCACAAAATACTCAAAGTAATTCCATTTTTATTTGTGAGGGAACTCCGGGCTGGTCCATCCATCGATAGAGACCTCATTTTACCTTTTTTACCATTTTACATTAGTAGATTTAGCCCCAGAAATTCTCCATTCCATTCCATAAAGTTCAAGCGATTCGGGCGATGAATTTGAAAAATTCCAAGTTTTATAAACGCATCCAGGAGCTGCGACGCTTCTCGAAGGAGAAGATCCGCAAGGACCGCGAGATGCGCACCAGCGTACGCCTGGACATGGCCCTCAGCGAGCAACGGCCCGGCCGTGACTCTGACCTTGAGTGGTCCAGTTCCCCACGCCGTCAGATCACACCACGGCGCCGCCTCAAGAAGATCAAGGGCAAGAAGAAGGCGCCCGCCCGGCTGGCGGGTGGCAAGGACACCGTCTGCTCCAGTCCCGCGGACGGGGAGCTGCAGCCGGAGGCTGATGGTGAAATCCAGAGCTTCATTCAGCTGAACGAGAAGTGCTATCGGCTGTCCTGCTCGAGGCAGGTGGCTGCTAAATCCTCGCGCGATGATGCGAACTCCATTAGCGAGGCCAAGAGCGCCATTTGCGTGTCCAACTCCCGCTACGCGATGATCGGCAAGATATCCAAGACGCTGGGCTACAAGTTGGTCAAGGAGACCAAGCTGTGGAACATTCTCTGGTCGGACTCGTTCCCCGGCGTGGAGCTCTTCAAGAACATGAAGCGGTTCCAGCAGATCAACCACTTTCCCGGCATGATCGAGATCTGTCGCAAGGATCTGCTGTCGAGGAATCTCAATCGCATGTTCAAGGTGTATCCGCACGACTACAAGATCTTCCCCAAGACTTGGATGCTGCCAGCGGAGTAAGTGAAGGTATATACCCTCATATTGAATCATTTAGTAGCCTCCACTCTGTGTCCAGCTATGGGGATGCGATGAACTATGCTCTGACCCACAAGCGCACCTTCATTCTGAAGCCAGACTCGGGCGCCCAGGGACGCGGCATCTGGCTGACCAACGATCTGAAGACCATCGGGGCCAACGAGCGCCTCATCTGCCAGACCTACGTCCATCGGGTGGGTAACCCGTTCGATTCGTCTATAGATCGCCCGCATGCCTAACCCGCTAATCCTCTCCCAGCCGCTGCTCATCGATGGCTACAAGTTCGATCTGCGGGTGTATACCCTCATCACATCGGTGGACCCGCTGCGCATCTTTGTGTACAACGAGGGCCTGGCCCGGTTCGCCACGAACAAGTACGTTGAGCCCACGCCGGGCAACTCCACTGACCTGTACATGCACCTGACGAACTACTCGGTGAACAAGCGGAACAGTCACTACGAGCTGTGCGACAACGACGACTGCGGCAGCAAGCGGAAGCTGAGCGCCATCAACAATTGGATGAGAAGGCACAACTACGATGTGGAGGAGTTCTGGACGAACGTAGACGATGTGATCATCAAGACGGTGCTCAGTGCGTGGCCCGTGCTGAAGCACAACTACCACGCCTGCTTCCCGGGCCACGACAAGATCCAAGCCTGCTTCGAGATTCTCGGATTCGACATTCTGGTGGACTGGAAGCTGAAGCCCTACATCCTGGAGGTGAATCACTCGCCCAGCTTCCACACCAGCGAGCAGGTGGATCGCGAGGTCAAGCGTCCACTCATCCGGGACACCCTCAGTCTGGTCAGCGCTGTGCTGGCGGACAAGAAGCAGATCATGCGCGAGGATCGCAAGCGGGTCAAGCAGCGTCTGCTCAAGACAAAGGGCGAGACGTAGGAAATCTTTGAAAGCCTATGTTGGTTGATCCTTCTACTATTCCTCCTCCTCCCTTTTTAGATTGCAGCGTCCCCGCGCTAGCGTTGTACCCTCGATTGCCAAGCCAAAGACGGACGGGAGCCGCACAAAGGTGGAGCCCGAGGAGGAGGTGGACCCGCTGGGCCAACAGATTGCCTGGGAGGACGGTCACATGGGCAACTTCCGCAGGATCATGCCTCCCACTGACGGCACCAAGGCCGAGTACTACAGCCAGTTCTATGGCCAGACCAATCAGGTGTCCATCTTCGCCGAGACGGCGGCCAGCAAGAAGCGGGAGGATCTTGCCCGCAAGATGCGCCTCCAGATAGAGGAGAAGAAGGCCAAGCAGGACCTGATGCTGAATGGACGCAACAAGCCCGATAAGCGCAAGCGTCCACTCGTCCTCCTGCCGCGGGCTGTGCGCGAGAAGAACCGCGTCCAGCTCTACCGACTACAGGAGCACTGGGTGCCGGGGTTCATCTCCGAGGCGGAGGAACGACTGCGTCACACCTGGCTCCAGATGCGCACCGAGGCGATTAAGACGCTGAGGATCACCGAGAATGTAAGTGGATATCTTTACTTTCCTCTGGCTATTGCCAATCCTCCCTCTTAGGTCTATGCAACGCTGTACGAGGCGGGCAATCTGACCAACACGGACATGGTCGTGTATCCGCATCTGTACCAGCATATGCAGAACGGCTATGATATCAAGCATCACGCATAAGATGCCGCCTTCCCATTTGGATTCGTATTCCCACATGTGTTGTTAAATTTGTTATATGTTAAATTTTACTTGCTGATTAAAATATGAAAAAATGAATCCATAAGGGAAGGAAGTCAATTCCCTCCTCTGTGCTCCTCTGCTGATGTGTTACGTTGACCATTTAAATTGGGCTTTATTTTAGGATGGGAACAATACAGAATTACTGACAGAAACATTTAAGTATGAGTATGAGGTACATGGTATATTTCGAAGGCAATCGATCTCTACATCTTCAGTTATATGCTTGAAGAAGAATGTCAAAATTAAACCTAAGATAAAGAGGGATTGCAAATCATATTTCCATTCTCTTAAGTAGTCCATATTGCAATATAAAGCTTGTACCTTTGTTTATTTTGTTGGGTGTTGGTTCACATTTATAGTATGAGTAGGAGTATATCCTCATCTACTCATCCATCCAGGTTGGCCTACAGCCTAACCATTGTCAATATTTCCCATCTTCCTATCCCTTGGAGAGTAGGATAAATGAAATGGGATAATTTCTTGATGGGAAGATACTCTTTAGCATAACTCTCTCCAATCCGAATTAGTGCAATTATTTCAGCGGTAATTCCTCTCAAATTAATCTCTTCCCTTTCGCGTGCTATCTAGATTTCATATGAGGTCTATGATTGGGTATCCCAGCAGTGTTACTAGCTTGCTCTCCGACTTCCTATAGACTTGGCAGCCTGCCCGGAAAAAAAACATTTGCATTTTGGCGCGTGTTCTGTTCGAAAGAACCATTAGATCAGAGACGAGAGAGAGAGAGTTCTGTTTTGAGATGAGCATCGAATATTGAGAATCTTGAGAGCAATTCCATTGCGATTGTGGGAGGAGGAGACGGGGACTCTTCCATGCTGTGTGTTCGAATTGGGAGGGAGAGCGCACTGAAATCAGTCGCGCCAAGGAGCAGTCACAGGGCAGTCCACACGCCAATTACAATCCGGAAAATATTTAGAAAGCCGTAAAAAAAATATATTCGCCCCAGAGATCTGCCCCAGAGTCAATTGCGGCATGTTCAAAGCGTCGCAGGAGATGCGTCTGAATACCAATTCAGCTGCCTCCGCCTCTCTGGGTCTGAGTGGGAGTGGTGGGCTCGAGGGGCCGAGTGCGGAGAAAGATGGTATTTTTGGGCGCTACCAGCGCACGCCCGACGCTGGTGAGTCGACGATGAGGAAGTAAACATCGAAGCGAGGCGTCTATTTATATACTCCCAACCGATACGATCCGCAGATGCGTATCCCACAGAGCCGCCGCGGGTCTACATAGCCCCAGAACTGACCGACGCGAGCAGGGTGCAATTGCTGCACTTTCCCAGCGGCGCTGTCCGCACCAACAGCTCCGTCAGCTTCGTCCTCAAGCGGAATGGGGTCAAGGGAAACTTTGATGTGCGGGTGGAGGGTCCTAGCGGCCAGCTGGAGACCGTGCAGCAGCAGCAGTTGGACCCGGAGCGCTTCCAAATCGACAGTCAACTGTCCTCCGGCGCAGGACTCTACAAAGTGCACGTCAAATGCAACTCCGTGAATCTGTCTCGGTCTCCCTTCATCATTGTGGCCATAGCGGGGGCTCCCGAGATCCCAGAAATGAAATCCAGCAGTGCAGAAGGTGGGTCCCCATCCGAGTGTGTTCCTTCATTACAGTAAACCTTGCTCTGATTTTCAGCAGAGCCCACCGTTCAGTCGGATGCCAGCAAGGTGCTGAGCCGCGGACTGGGACTCTCTCATGTGAGCTACCTAGAACGGAATGAGTTCACCGTGGACTGCAGCCAGGCCGGCAGCAACATGCTCTTTGTGGGCATCCTGGGACCACGGGGTCCCTGCGATGAGGTGCTAGTAAAGCATCTAGGCCGCAACATTCATCGCGTCACGTACCGAGTGTCGGATCCAGGGGATTACATTCTAGTGGCCAAGTGGGGGGAGCAGCACATACCAGGCTCTCCCTTCAGCCTGGCCACCGAATAGGAATCGTGGGAGTATATATGTACATATATCTATGTATGTAGGAGGAGTAGAATAAATGTGAATAGACGAAAATCAGATTGTGACCTTGTTCTTGCCTCTGCTTTTCCTCTTCCTACCCTCTGCTTCTGCGGGACGATGTGCAATTTAATGATGATTACACTGTGGCAGCAGCAGCAGCGGCAGCAGCGGCAACGGCAACGGCAGCAACATTATCATTTTTTGTTATTTAGCCCGGCGCTAATGACGTTCGCATTTGGGGGCTGCCTGCTGCTGTTGCTGCCGTCGCTCCAACCTAATGATGATGACCGGCAAATACAGGCGTGTGTTGGTGTGTGTGTGTGTGTTATGCTCCAACAAAAGCAGTTGCGCATCATCACATCACTGATGGTGCCAGAGAGATGGGGAGCAGGGGGGCACATAGCCAAAGTTGATGATGATGATAATGCGTTTGCTTTGTAGCCCGCCAGCCTTAACGAGCTGAGGTTGTATGGTGGCGAAGGAGGAGAGCAGACAGCTGCCGACTGAGCCACAAGATAAATTGCGCTTGGCCAGGCCTTAAAATCCAGCCAGATAAATCACACATGGCCCAGCGGAGTGCGGGAGGTGACCATTATCTACTATTCCAAACAGAATAATTCCCTATTCATGCAATAAATGTTGTCTTTTCCACGGGCCGGGCCCTTTCAATTTCCAACGTATTGTTTTGCCGCTGCCTGGCCACACTGGCGCGAAAACCCTACACACCATCAGTGTTGCCAATTTAGCTTTTTTTTCCAAAAGATCTACCGTTTTCAGTTGGAAAATGCTGGATAAATTGAAATAGCGGATACAGGAAATTATGGCTATTTCTAAAGAAAAATTGCATTGTTTTTAGCTATGAAAACAATTGAATCGAGCTCAATACCATCACTAACAAGGTATTTCACAATTTATGATTCGATCGCGAGTGTAAGGTAAAAATGGGCACGTATTGCAACACCTTCATCCGCCAGTCCCAATTGACCATTTGAGATTGTTGTGCGGAAACAAATTTCAAAATGCAAGTGCTATGAAGAGAATCAGACCTACATAAGATCAGCTACAGAAGACGACATGTTTGACGAACTTGAAAGGTTCGAAAATACTTGACTAAATCAATACAAATATCATTAAGCCACTCTACGTTTATTTTAGCTACCGTCAAAATTTTCTGGCTATTTATAGCTTTTTTTTAAAAGACTAGTTTAGCTTTTTTATGACCCGAAGAGTTGGCAACACTGCACACCATGTTGCTTGCTCTGCTGCTGTCTCGCTTGTGCAGAGAACATCATTATTTGTTGGTGTGTTGGTGGCGAGAGCTGCGCGTACTACCAGATACGTTTTTCGTGTGTTTCCCTCTCGAAGACAATTAAAATTTAATTATTTGCCTTATAATCAAGTTGTGTTCTGTGCTGCCTGCCTGTTGTTGTGTTGGTGTTGTCGCATCCTCCCCCCCCATTACCCGGCAATCGGCAGCTCATGGAGAATAAGTAAAGAATATACGACTCATAAAAAAAAATTGGATGTTGTGTGTGTGTGTGTGTATCTCTGCAAAGGGAAAAGTTGTGCGTGTGTGTATTCAAGAAAAGTAACCATCGAATTGCGCCCCTGCCCCCTCCCCCGCTCTGCTTGCAGTGGCGGCTCCAAGCCAAAGCAAGTGCCAGGGCAGGCCGCGGCGTCGGCGTCAAAGTTGTGTGGCATGTAGCATCTTCATCTCTTCTCTGGTAGCAGTAGTATACTGGAATAACCGCGTCAGTTCGCTTTTAGCCAACGTCGCGTCAACTTCATATCTTGTGTCTGGTGGATGCAATTTACAGCTAGTTTCTCTCTAATTCGTATATTTGCATTTGTTTACGGATTGCGTATTATGTCTGTGTGCTGTGTGTGGGCCTGTGTGCGGGCCTCATCTGTGTGAATGTGTGTGTGCCGGCTTAATGATAATTAAAAATCTGTTATTACTATAGTGCTGCGCAGGCAAGTCCCGTTCGTTCGTTGGGGGAGGCGTAGATGTCCTCGTCCTCCCGTAACCTTTAAAGATTCACCTTAAAAACGGTGTTGCATGAGATTTCCCCGCAATTATATAAATATAAATAAATACAGTGTGGAATGCTTTGTTAATTTATGGATATTTTTGTTGTTTTTGTTGTTGTTGCAGGAGTGGATGCGCGTGTCCAATATGCCAGCCTACTAGATAAGTCCTGCTTCATGTCCTGCTCCAGCTGGCAGACGCAGTTTGTTGGGCAATCCCATTTGTCGGCAGCGAGACCCATGTGAAATGCCTGTGAGTAATCCTTCCATCTGAATCTTCTTCTGGGTATTCCCATCTTTACCTGTAACTGTTGCAGTATGAAAAATTCAACAAAAAGCGTCGACAATGGGAGGATAGTGGGGTACTAGAGCTAATCAAACTATGGAAAGTCTGCGCCTATGAGCTGCGCACCATCAAACGCAATGGCCATCTGTATGTGGCTATGGCCAAGCAGCTAACGTCCCTGGGCGTACCTGTTACCGCACTGGAGGTGCACTTCAAAGTCAACAATCTCACGCAGCGATATCGCCAGGAACAGAAGACCTTCGAGACCACAGGCATAATCAGCACCTGGAAATTTTACAGTCAAGTGGATGATGTTTTCAAGAGTCTGGCCGCTCACACGGGTTACAAGTAAATATGATAAATGATAATCCCACAGCAGTGTCCAATGGGAACTAATGGGAATACGATATGATCATCTTCCACAGAGACAAACGCATGACTAGTGCCTCGAATACTAGTAGCCTACCATCCACATCCGAGTCACCAGTTTGGAAGAATCCAATGTCTCAGCAAGAGTTTAATAGTAACAACACGGAGGGGTTCTATAAGTAAGTGGAGTCCATACTCCATCCCTCATCTTCTGTTCTGCAATCTTATACTGATCTTCTGTACTATTACAGGACCGAGTACGGCATGCATCGGCACTTTATGGACCACTCCCAGCCACCGCCGAATACGGGCAGCGTGGACAATTTCATGGCCTCCTCGGCGGCCGTGGCGGCGGTGGCTGCTGCTGCATCCGCTCGCCTCGCGGACAACAACATGGAGCAGCAGATGAATGCAGCGGGCGGCAGTGGGGCCAGCGGCGGTGGGGGCAACACCAACGGCGGTGTGGCCAACTACAACAAGATCAAGAAATCCCACGAGGACTACGACAAGTTCGTGGATATTGTGAAGAACATTGTGGACACGCACAAGAGCACACCGGACAAGGTGGACACGTTCAGCGACTTTATCAAGTCGTACATGAAGCGCTGGCCGGAGCGGCTCCAGGACGAGGCAATCAATCACATCACCAATTACGTGATTGTCAAGAACATGGAGCACAGCATGGTTAGCGGCGGCGGCGGCGTCCACAATCCGGAGGGGGTCAACAATCGACAATAACAATACAAGCAGGAGCCCAACAACTAAACGCAGCCAAGGTCAGTGCAGATAGTTGTTGGACGGCCGCCCAACAGCCCATGCGGTCGGTCGTAGGCGGCCGTAGTAGCAGCTCCAGGAACTCCAAACCCAATTATGGAACCGCAGTACGAAACACGAGAGACACGAGGAGCAGGGCGAGGATTACTTAACGGCAGTTACTTAACAGCTATCCACCCCCGCTACACACACTCATGCCGCTAGATCGGCTGGGGTATGGTCTGGTTTATATTGGAGCGATGTGTTTGGTGGCATACAGTATTTTTTGTATAGGTAAAATATACAATGTCGGAGTTTTTAGTTTTTATTTTCTGTGCGATGCCGATACCGAAAGTTCGGGATTGAGTTGTCTGTTGTAGGGGCAAGACAGGACAGGGGACTCTATCTCGAATAAACATAGAGATCAGATCCTAGCGAGTACTTTTACGTTTAGACATCATTTCCTACTGTTAGCTGTAAACTATTATACATAAAATATATATAAATTACAAATTAATAAATGCTTTAACGACTAACGACGATCTGTACGATCGATCAGATACGTTGGATTTGACAGGCAACGCTATTGAACAGGCTGGTGGTCTTGCCCGTGGCCGTTGGGGCTGTGGGCGTCACCAGGAAGCGGGCAAAGGTGCCGCCCTTTTTGTCCGACAGGCGTCCGGGATTGATCACCAGGCAGTCGCTGACCAGCCGTATGAAGTGCCTCTGGTCGCCGGGCAGCAGCAGGATATTGGGCAGTTGCCGTAGCTGGGCGTACTTTAGGGCCAGCTGCGAGTCGTAGGCCATGTCCTCATCCGCTGGCGGGTACAAGGGATAGAAGGAGCCCTGATTGAACAGGTGGTTGATTGCCCGATGCATCCGTTCTCCGGCATTCACCGCAAACTCGTGGCTGAGCAAATGGTCCACGATGTCGGTGGAGGTGACGCCCACAGTGATACCGTCTAGGTCCACCATCGAGGGATCAGGCAGAAGGTGCAGATTGGGGTATGTCTTGCGCAGAGTGGGTGGCGGGGTGGGGTAGACCGCGTGGGACATCGCATCCTTCTGGCTGCTGACCATCAATACTGTCGTGTGACCACCCACTACCTCCATGATGCCTGCAATCATCTTCTCGAAGAACGAGTCGAAGGTCTCTGCCATCTGGACGACGAGCTTGTGATTCGCGTCCACAAAGGGACCCACCAGAACGAGGACATCTGGTCTGTGGTCCTTCAGGTACTTGAGCAGATCGTGTAGCGGATCGTAGAACAGGTCCGTACTGTGAGTATACGGACCGGCGGCCACCACGAACTGCAGCTCCCTATCCACCTTCAATGGCGAGGGCGGCGTCAGTTTTCGCTCCGTGTGGATCTCCTCCACCACAAAGGTGGTGCCTTTGGGTATAAATCCTTTGGCCAGCACCACCTGGCCCGGAAAGATGCTGGCCGACTTGATGCGATTGAAATTCATTTCGAGATAGCTGCACTGCTCTCCATCGTTCACGGCCATGAAAGTGGAGAAGGCGTCCAGGGGCCCATCGTCTTCGGAATGTATCATGCCCACGGCATAGAGCATGTGCAGCGCCTGCAGCGTCTCCCCGTCCTGCGGATACCAACTGCTCTCGGCCACTTCCTTCGCGGAAAGCTTCTTCTCCACCAGCGCTCGTCCCGTGTTGTCCAGGCGGTCGTCCAGGTCATCACACTTTTCGCACAGCAAGTCGTTCATGTAGCTTAGGTTGCCGAGCGTCAGCGGAGCCTCCTTATGCAGTAGTTTCTGCGACACGGACAAGGAATGCTCTAGTTTGGCTAGCCATGTGGTTCCAGCCAGCAGTCTGGGGTGTCCGAAGGTGTCAACAATGTCCCCTGGTCGTCCGGCCACTGTTGTTGTCGATGGTGTTCCTGTTCCTGTATCTGCCGCTGGGGTACGTTTGGCCGATTGCGGCGTGTAGCTGACGGGGCTGAAGAGAACGCCGCCCTTGAGGGCAGAGGAGCGTGACGAAGGATCCTTCTTGGACTTGGGCGTGTGCATCACCGAGGAGTCTGTCACCGACTCGCTCATATAGTCATCCATCATTGGATCATCTTCGATAAGGCCATAAGTGGAGAGAGAGCTCGTGTCGGCCACAGTCGCTGGGGCATACGATTTCGATTTCTGTGTGGATGTCTTAAAGCCCACCTTGTCCTTTTTCAGCTGGAGTACCTTGCGCTCGAACTCGCCCAGATTCTCGGGCGTTGGGCCATCTCCGCCCAGGTGGGACAAGCTAAAGGCCATCCACTGCTCCACGAACTCGGTGGCATCCTCAATGCTGTACGTGATGGCCAGTTCCATACACTTGTCCAGCACCGCATCGCTGGGCTCCACGCCTATCTCGTCGAATTGCTGCTTTATTTCCATATCCATGCTGCGTCTCGCGTCTTTTACCAAATTTGTTATAGAAATTTACTTTTGGCGGCAAAAAACACACTAAAACGATTCAAAGCTATCGATATCTAAAAAATATACTACAAATTTTTTTTCTCGGTATATTTATGGTATATTATGAAAATGAGAAAGTATCTTTATGAGTTCAGGCGGTATATTTGAAAGATAAGTCCGCGGTCACACTGGTTCCGTGCAATAACAAAACAATAACAAATAACTTATTTAATTAACAAAAGTATAGCATAGCTCCAGTTAAATAATTTATGTGGAAAAGTGCGTGTTAAAGTGCAAGTAAAGTGTATGTGCTAGAGGGTGAAATGAGTACGGACGATTTGCTGGTGGCTCGCCATGCTAGAAGCAACGAATCCTCGCCAACTGCGTCGTCAACAACGCCGCTTCCGCCCCCAGTAGCGCCTGCGCCCAGCTCCTCGTTTGATCGCTTGCGCAACACGTTTCGGCGAACAGAGAGCATGTCCTCGCAGATCTTCAGCCACATCTCGACGCAGTTTACGAATGCTGCGGCAGCGGCGGCTGCGTCTGAAGTGATTGATGGGACCACTCCCTATCCGAGTTCAGAGGAACCTACAACACCAACTGCACCACCAACCGCTGCTCCTGCTCCTCCTGAAGCGTCAGCCTCTCCATCGCCATCCAAAATAATCTCGAAAAGGGCAAAGCGTGGTAAGTTGCAAGCACATGAAATTTGATTAGCCTTTGAGTTCTTTTGTATTTCTACACCATTAAAATACCCCAATAAAGTGTGTGAACATCCTGTTAATATATGAATGTATAATTAAAAAAGTGTAAGCTGGTTTGAGGATTTAAATCCTAAAAGTGTTGCACACAACACAGCTGTTGCAGATGCAGGAGAACCCTCAACGATGAGGCCAGCATTTTTAACAGAGCCGAAAGTGCAACTTAACAGAGTGTTAACAGTTGCCGATTTTAACATTACTTTCGTGCTTTTGACAAATCAATATCGAACGGTACACAATACAGGATAACATAACGGTATAGTTTAAGTGGCTGCGTAAAAGAATAGTTGTTCAGAGTTTGATTTAATAAAAGAAGCCATTTGATCCAGTGGTGGTTGCCACAGCAAACACACATCAATTAAAAGGTAACAATAATTGCAATCATTTCCTTTCCTCCAGCAGCCTAGCTGCGGGGGGTAGGAAATGTGTGTGGCAGCTTTGAGATGTTGCAACTCTCCTAATATCGATATGTATATGTATTTTTATGACACACACACACGAATGAACGAACGAACTCGTGCAGCAGGCAGTAAATCGAAGCCTGAATAAAATAAAACAAAATGCGTGGACTCGTCGAGGATACAAAAAGGACAAAATTGTCACAAAACAACAACAACAATGTGGCCACCAGTGCGACCAGTGGGAGTCGTCTCAAGGCATCCTCGACTGCAGCCAGCAGCACATCCGCCAAGCCGTTGAGGAGTGTCGTTAAAACGCCAACTACACCGTCATCGGTGGGATTGGGAGGCGGAGCCAAGAAAACGCCACCGAGTATGCAGCAAAAACAACAAGAAGTTGGCAAGTCCGCCAAGTCGTCATCAGGGGCAGCAGCTGCCACAACGAGGGCGGCAACAGTCACACAGGCAAGTGCAAAAACACAAAAGGGTCAGAATCCACCCCAACAATCGCCCCAGCCACAGGTCGTCCAAGGCGCCACAGAAAGAAGCACAACCACAGCAGCAGCAGCAACAGCCGCAGGCACAGGCTCAGGCTCAGGCGCAGCCAACAAAACTTCAGGCGAGCAACAACAGCAGCAGCGGCAGCACCACAATCGCCCTGCCAAAGGCCTCGCATGCCAACCACACCAACGAGGAGCTGGCCAACGGCGTGCAGGACACCATTTACCTGTGCAACTTTCGGGTATCCGTGGACGGCGAATGGCTGTGCCTCAAGGAGCTGCAGGACATCGATGTGGGTGACGGCCAGCAGTCGAGAGGAGGCGTCGGCGTCAACGAGCCAAACACTGGAAACTCTAGCTCCAGCTATGCTGCTGCTGGGACACATGCCAGTGGCAGTGGCTCTCAGTTTGGGAAGCGGAACAGCAAACGCTTCTCCGGATTGTCAGCGGCTGGAAGTGCCGCTGGGGCTCTCGAGGATAACGGTATTATGGCACTTGAAAATCTAATCGGTCGTCGTCTGTGCGACATGGTCGGCTCCAATGCACTCAATGCCTCCCAGTCGCACTCCCAGACGCAGTCGCAGCACAAGAATGTGGGCCTCTTCGCAGAGTGGTCGCATCTCTGTAGGTTGCTTCTTTCTGTTGCCTCTTCAGTTGCATCTTCCGTTTGCCAGTTTATATTTATTAACCCTTATCCTTTGTAGTTTGTTTCTCTTTTGTTATCCAATCTATTCGGATGCTGATTCCGATTGATATCTTTTCATTTGGCATGTTTACGTTGCACCTTCTCTCCCTCGCTGGCACATAGACTAGTTTAGTGGGGAATTAATCATTGAACCCTTAGAGTGTGTAGAAATGCAGATTCTTTCGATGAGCTATAGTTGAAAGGTCCCAAAATATCAGATTCGTGTAGTGTGGGAATGATCTATGATCTACTACAGTGGTCGGCACGCACACACTCACATGGTTTGCAATGCGCTTGTGTGCGTAGACCGCATGCAAAACGGAACATTGTATTGGGTACAACCACTGGACCTGCAGCAGTGCCTTATCCTATATCCATTAAATAGGGCCGTGCCTAGCCCTTCCCAGGTTCACGTGTGACTAACTTTTCAGTCAAATAATTTTCTGTTTTCAACGAATCGCTCGTGGCGAATGCTGTCTGTTTGTGTATCCGTTCACCTTTGGGGAAAATTCCTACGAATTGTGCAGGCGATAAATAACTCAACTCAATTTAATTGTTAAAATAGAAAACAAAACTCGAAAAAATAACTATAAAAAAAAAATCACAGGGAATCTTCAAAGGTCGTCTCCCAGCCTGGCGAGTCCTTCGGCGACTGTGGGGTATTTCAATTAATTGGATCTATCCTCACAAGATTTCAGTCTGACAATTCGCTTACATCGCTCACAATACAGCCTCCACCTGTCAGCCTTTTCTCCTTGGCATCTGAGTTCATGGGCTCTGCTTTTGGATCGGACTTCTTTCGTGACTTTCGTGGCTCATCCTGGCCCTTGTCCGTCTCTGTAGGGGATTACATGGGGTAATTTGATGGGAATTAGTGTTCCAATGGATATGGAAATCTCACCCAACTTTTTGTCTTTTCTCTTGGGCTTCTCCGGAGGTGGCTCCTTTGATTTTTTCGTGGCCCCTGTGGCGTCGTTGGTTTTCAGCACCGAGGGTGCCGCCTTTGGGTCCTCCTCCCCACACCTGTTGATCTCCTTGATGGCCTCACACCGTTTGATCTCTTTGAGCTCCTCCTCGCACCGCCTGCGTATCTTCTGCTTCTCCAGGTCCCTGTCTCTGGCACGCTCAGTTTCTGTAGTCACCTCCGTAATGGATCGGTACGAGTCCAGTGTGGGCATTCTTTGAGGATCCTCTGCCTCCTCTCTAGCGGCAGGAGGAAGAGGTTTCCTTCGGGGCGCGGGTCTGGGGGATGCTTCTTCCGTGTGCTGCTCGGACTCAGTGTCCAGGAGATGGAACGGCTTTGAGAGCTTTTGCTTGACCCTGGACAGGCGCCTCTTCCTGGTGTAGTACTCGTCCGGGGAGCTGCGCGCGAACTTCATGGGCATGCATTTCCGGTTGAACTGGCAGGCCAGCGAGGAGGTGGAGGTGTGCGTGTCATCGAGGAATCTTCGAAAGTCTGCAAAGAAAAATGAAAAGGGAAGAATAGAATAGAATAGATAGGGACACATCTTTAGATACCTGGCTTACCATTGCCATTGCTTTGGGGGGACTTCTCCGAGTGGCTGACCTCAATGGGTGACGAGTAGTAGGACCCTTGGAAGGCCATTCTCCTGGGCATGGAGGGTTTCGTTTCGGTGACTACTTTTGCCTTCGTGGGCGGCGGCACTTCCGGATCCCTCTTGTGGGGTATCCTCGGGCCCACCTGCGGCTTGCGGCCCTTCCGCATGCAGCAGTAGATGATCAGCAGAAGGAGCAGCAGGAGCGAAGCCAGAAACAGTGCCACCCAGGCCACATATGCGGATGAGGCATCATCATCGCACTCCCGACACTCCTCCCCCTCCTGGTTCTGCGCTTGTGTCTCCCGCTCCTTTTTGGAGTTTGGTGAACGGCTCTGCTTGCGGCCCTTGCTGCCACCTGCTGCCACGTGCCCAGTGTCTGTGACATCATCCGACGTTTCCTGGTAGTCCATGAAGCACTGCTCCTCCTGGCACTCGCCCTCTGGCTGCGTCGCCTTGCCATGGTATTCATTCTGGAGCAGCTCGTAGACCTGCAAGATGCCGCCCAGGCCGGGATAGAAGACCTCGTCCTTGTAGTGCAGCTGCAGGCTCTCGCGGATCCAGTTGCGCAGCTTCCTGTTGTACGCCTTCTGGCACATGCCCTGGAAGCGGTAGCACTGGGTCACCGTCTGGAAGAACTTCACCAGCACGAAGGCCGAGTGGGGCGAGCGCAGGTTGTAGATGCGCCGCTGCTTCAGCGGCAGGTAGATGTTCGTGAGGTACCCATACCCATCGACGGGCTCCAGGCGGGGCAGCGGGACGATCATCTGGTCGTTCGGCGCCTCCTTGCAGCCAGAGGTCTGCTCGAGCAGCGCACAGCTGGAGGCATCTTCCTCCCCCTGCTTTCTGGCTGGCAGCTTCACGGGGCTGATCCGCACGCTCTTCAGCTGGCTGAGAATGTCCCCCACGGGCGTCCGCCAGCCGTTGCCGTTCGTATTCAGCACGACCAGGCACTGATGGTAGAGGGCCACCAGCCGCTCCATCGTGCACAGCTTGAGGCGACCGGCGTAGAAAGAGACTTGGGCCACGGGCAACAGGTAGTAGTGCAGGTATCCGCCGAGCGCATCGTAGAAGGCTCGCTGCAGCACCAGTTTCGCCTCGTCCTCGGCCATGCCCTTGACGATCCGGTTGACCGTGTGGAAGTACTTCATCAGCATCTGGACGACGCTGTCGCAGAGCATGCTGCTGGGGAAGGACTTGGGCAGCAGCGTCTCGAAGTCCCGGCGGGCGGCTATCAGCGCAATGTCCTCCATGGAGAAGCACTTCCTCGTGCTGCTGCCAAAAAGATTGGTGCCCAGAAAGAGGTCCGCGTTCTCGTCCTTGCTGGCCGCACTGCGCGATACCTTTGGGAGGAGCATTCTGGGTGCCACTGTTGTGGCCCTGTGACTGCCGGGTGGGTCATCCCATACGGACCTCTGCATCTGCATCCGCTGCTCATGGTTGGCGTTCAGGTCGTTCCGGGACTGCTCCAGCTCCGAGCTGAGCATCGACTGGAGGGTCAGGTCGTTCTGGAAGTCATTAGGCACCTCCAGAGTGGACAGGTCGATGCTGTACATGGGACAGCCTCCCGGTGTCAGAAAAAACAGCAACAAGAGCAGCACATGAATGTTCATTACTATATGTCATTGCAGTTGTCACAAATCTCATTCGAAACGCCTACTAGCAGCTGTCACCTTTCTCGCTAATCCCTAATCCGTAATCCGTAATCCGTAGTCGTTGTCTCGTTGCTACCTTGCCGCCAATCCTCAGAATCGACGACTCAGAATCCACTCTGCCGTGTGGCTACCCTCTTCTTGCAGCACGCGACACCGCTGAGATCGAGCGGAGTAATTTGGTGAACATCTGCAAGCTGGTGGTCAAGGAGCTGCTGGAGCAGTCGCTGCGCTATGGCCGGATGCTGGACTCGGACCATCTGCCGCTGCAGCACTTCTTCATCGTGATCGAGCACGTGCTGGGGCATGGACTGCGGCCCAAGAAGGGGCTGCTCGGACCACGGAAGGAGCTGTGGGACCTGCTGCAGAGCGTCGAGCACTACTGCCCCGAGGCGCAGGACATCACGGCCAGTGTGCGGGACCTGCCCACCGTTCGGACGCACATCGGACGGGCACGGGCCTGGCTAAGGATCGCTCTCATGCAGAAGAAGCTGTCGGACTACCTTCAGGCGCTGATCGAGCACCGCGATGACTCGCTCTACGACTACTACGAGCCGCATGCCCTGATGATGAGCGACGAGGTGAAGTCCACAGTCTAGTTGCCATCTGTTATATCCAGGATAACCTTATCACCCTCTCCTCCCGCCCCCTCTCAGATCGTTGTGATAATGGGGATTCTGGTGGGACTGAATGTGATCGACTGCAATCTGTGCGTGAAGGAGGAGGACCTGGACTCGCAGCAGGGCGTCATCGATTTCTCTCTCTATCTGCGCTCCAGTTCGCGCAGTCCCGACGCCCCCGATGACAGTGCCCCAGCGCCTGCGGTGCTGGATGCCACCGGGCAGGGCAACATGATAGCCGTGCTCGACCAGAAGAACTACATCGAGGAGCTGAATCGCCATTTAAAGTGGGTCATCTGAAGCAGCCACAGTCCGGAGTGCAGACTAAACCTAAGCCCCCTCCTCTTAACGCCTCTTTCAGTGCCACCGTTGGCAATCTGCAGGCCAAGGTCGAATCGCTGACCACAACCAATGCCCTGATGAAGGAGGATCTGGCCATCGCACGCAACAGTCTGTTGGCTCTGCAGGCCGAGAACCAGGCCATGCGACAGTCCAGCCAAACGCAGCAGCAGCAGCAGCAACAGAAGGACTCGGACAACAGCTCTGGCAGTGGCTCCGATAAGGAAAAGAGCGAAGCTGTAAGCACGGATCTGTCGGAGGAGCGGCGCAAGAACGGGGAGCTGGAGAAGGAGCTGAAGCTGCAGGTGTCGCTCAAGGCGGAGTCGGACATGGCCATGAAGCTGCTGGAGAAGGACATACACGAGAAGCAGGACACGATAGTCTCGCTGCGACGCCAGCTGGACGACATCAAGCAGATCAATCTGGAGATGTATCGCAAGCTACAGGTGAGTATTTCCACACAACCGAGACACACTCCACACACTCCACACACTCATCGTTTCACATTCATCCTCCCATCAACTGGTCGCCAGAGTTTTGGTTTATTTGTGTTTGGTTTCTCTTTGGTTTGAGTTTATGATTTAGTCAAGCAATCAGACATATCCCCGCAATCGAATCGGTCTAATCGCCTATCAATTCCGAGAAAGAAATCCAAAGTCAAATGTACTCCTCCTTCGTTTTGCCACCATTTAACCAGGAATGTGAAGATGAACTCACACAGAAGGGCGAGATGGTCTCGCGCTTGCAAACGAAAGCCTCACAAATTGGTAACATTTTACAATCGCTAGAAAAGAAGTACGAGTCGAAGCTGAACGATCAGCACGGTGGAGGAGCGTTCGGCGGAGCTTTCGGCGGGGAGCGTTCGCCCAGCACCAGACGCCAGCAGAATCTGGAGAAGTTCGAGGCCCTCACCAAGAAGCACAAACATGACGGGCCACCCATGAAGCGGATGCATCTCAAGATGGATGCCTTTCCGCCGTTCGATCCCAACAAGTATCGCAAGTCCCCATCGAGTGCGGCTGCTGTTGCTGCTGCACCTCTGCCCCTGGAGCCGCAGGAAGACGACAGCAAGCACCCAAAGACGCCCACATCCGCCAAGTCTCTCAACGATGAGCTGGCCGAGGCAGCAGCAGATATAACTCAACCCTTTGGCGGCGATGGATCACGCAGCGACTACACATTGTCCGGTATTGTGGAAGCCGCCGCAGCTGGCGACTCCTAGACTCGTATTAATTGTAGATAAAAAAGAACAGAACGGCATCCCATTATAAATCTTTGTATTGCGAGAAATACTGCGCATAGTTGTTGCCTCCTTACTCCTGTTCTCCCATAATATATGATATATTTATGTATCCAAGGCCTTGGCGTGTACTCAAAGTCCATGTCCATGTACGGGTCCCTATTAAGCAGCACCCCTCCCCCCATGTTAGTGTATAGGATGCCTACACAGAGGAATATCTATGTATATGTAGACTTTGTTAAAGGTTTGACTAATAATATGCAACCTGATAGCTTAATTATATGCCCCCCTGAGACCCAAAAGGAACCCCCTGATAAATGGAATACTCATAAATGATGTATGATAATCTAGCAGCGTATATGCATGTAAATATGTAAAAGAGGCTTTAGATTCAGATACAGATACAGTCGAGAACTGTATACACATACACTCAGAGAAAAAGAGCATAATAAAAAGGAAACCCATATTCAAAATTTAAAATATTCGATTTTTAAATACAAAAAAAGAGAAATTAAATAGAATTCGATATGATGTAAACATAAATGTACTAAGAATTCTTTTCTATACAGCCAATAATTAATCTAAATAATAAAATTAATATATATAAATTCTAGGAAATATATTCATATTAATATTTAATTTAAATATGAAATATATTTATTTTAAATATTTGCATTTTAATATCAAGAAACACTTTGTTTTTCCATTTTCCGTATTTGGTATAAATTTAAAAATGTAAGTTTAAATATTGAAATTGCATTGCTTTTATTCTCTGAGTGTGTGTATGGATATATACTCTCCCCAACCGCTGCTTCTATCGCTTATATTATTGTAATACTGTATGTACTATATGTAATCCCAACCCTCTAATACTAGTCGAACAATAGAGTACACGAGTATTGTAATTATAACTAAATGTAACTGTATAATCGTACGCCTTGAAAGCAACCTGCATATAGTACTACATACAAATATGTTCCACTCCACTATTGTACTTCTACTTCTAAACTAAACCCAAAGAGAAACCCAAACAAATAAACCTTAACCGACAGTCAGTCAGTCTTTCATTTGCCACCTAAATTCTCTTCCACTGAGCTGGTCCAACGATGGTACAAACGCTTCTTCTCTCTTCTTTCCTTTCCGTTGGCAGGACTGCAAGGCCTCGCTAACGCATAAAACGGAGCTGATGGACAAGCTGGAGGTCCAAAAGGAGGACATGGCCAGCACGATTGAGCAGCTGGAGAAGAAGTAAGATCCCATACGGGGTGGGGTGGGGTGCGGAGGTCTCCTGGTTCTTATCACAATCATCGATATCATCGATGTTTGCTTTCCCTTCAACAGGTGGACCCATGACAAGAGCAACTTGGGCGAGAAACTGAAGAGCACGTCACAAACGCTGACCACCCAGGTGACGGCCAGCGAGGAGCGGGCTGCCCGGGCCGAGGCCGAGTCGCGCATCGAGCGCGAGTGGCGCATTTCGCTGCAGGAAAAGGAGGTCAAACTAAAGGAGAAGATAGCCACGCTTCAGGGCTGCCTCAAGGAGCTGGCCGAGGAGAAGGACAGGAATGAGAAGCTAAAGCTGGACCTGGAGAAGGCGCGCGCCCAGTGGGCCGAGGCGCAGACCACATTGGAGGAGCTGGGCATCCAGTTGAGTGAGAGCAAGCTGAAGGTGTCGGAGATGCAGGACAACGAGAAGCGGCAGCGCCAGCTTATGTCCGGATCCTCGCAGTCGCTGCAGACGATGCCGGAGAGCCTCAGTAGTCCCGGCATCTGGGCGCCCGACTCGATTGCCTCCCACTGCACAGCCTGCGAGCGGGAGTTCAATCTGACGCGGCGCAAGCACCACTGCCGCAGCTGTGGCGAGATCTTCTGCAAGGCCTGCTCCGAGCACACGCTGCCGCTGCTCAATGCCCAGGGGCAGACGGGCAAGCCGGTGCGTGTGTGCAATGCCTGCTATGCAGCAAAATGATGCATATACATATATATCTATAGATATCTGAGAATTATTGCAATTTGTAATTTGTATTTGTATGTAGTTGAACACAATTAGCCTGTGCTAAGCATTCCTAGCTGCCATGGCAACTCACTGACGTTATACATTGAATTTTGTAATCCAATTATATAAAACAATGTCGTGACATTTGTGTGAATCGTTGAATAAAATATATATATAATATAATAATTTGAATTTCCGTTTAGCGCCCACATCGATACACATATCGTTGCAGCCCTGGGATGTCATTGATTCAACACTTATGTTTTAAGCCTTGGCCTTTTTAGTTTAAACCTTCTTTCATACACAATTAAACAAAAGAGACTCTTTAAAATTTGTAAGTCTTGTAGAGAATTGATTCATCAATCGGATTAAATTATATATTAGTTAGTTAGCTAAAAATATTGAACCGAATACCAAAATCGAAAAATATTTCCAATTATGGACAGAGAACGATTAACCCAATGCCGACCAGGGGGGTATTTGAGTACTCCCACGAAATAATGAAATTTAAAACATTTTAGCGCAGTTCAGGTGGTCATATCATAATGCGTGCCACCGCTCACCCATATGATATCTCGTGATATTTTTTTTTGTAAGTAAAGAGGAAGCATGTATACAAGGAGAACATACAAGCAATATTATTTTTCGCCGCTTAACTCAGGTTGTTCAACGGTTTAAATAGAGGGGGCTTAAGTGTGTTAAGTTCGATACTCACTCATGATGTATGGTATATCGGTCTTTAATATAATATATTTCATCAATTTTCATTCGGACTGTTAGAAAATATGGATATTCCCTATTCACGTGCTGGGTTATAAATGATTTCGATGTGAATTAGCCAAGTAGCGCGACCAGCCCATTGGTTAGTTAGCAGAAACCACCCCCCTCCCGCACTGCTGGCGGCAGTCACTGTGGCATCGATTTTTATTTGAAGCGAATGCAGCGGAATTTGACGAGACTTTTCCACTCGAAACCCAAGTGAATCCAGTCGCAGCGGAGTCAGAAGACGGGCCGGACGGAGATGAAAGAGACCGGACACATCACACTCACGCTCTCCTCGGGGGCGGTAGCCAGCACTGATGAGCGGTCACGGAAGAGTCTGCGGCGGGTAAGAGGCGGAATGAATGGGCCCAAACAAACAATGAATATTCATATTTGCACATTTGCATGGTTCAAGGCTTGGAATCAGCTGCCGCGTTGTCAACGCAATCTCATTATACTCGGCGTAACGGCCTTCTGCGTGACGGTCTTGCTCTGTTTAACCGGCGATCAACTGATTGCGGCGAGCATCAAGGATGTCGAGGAGAAGGCTATCGCCTCCCCCTACCACCTGCGACGCGAGCTCCCACAGCAAAACCCCCACCACCATCCCGACAAGGATAAGGATCTGACCGCTGCCGCTGCTGCCACACCGCTAGCCGCATTAGATAGGCGCCTGCCCAATCCAGAGCCCGCTGATGATAAGGTAATTGTCTACTTTTCGCTGACAACTGCGGCGGCACGCAGTATGATAAGAGCCCCGAGCCCCATCTTCTTAATGAGTTGAATTGGTTATTGTTGTCTGATTGAATAATGATAATTGATTTGCTTTCAGGTTGACGGAAATTTGGCCTATGAAGATACGAACTCAGCTGAAAATGTGGTTCGAGTGCCAGATACCGCAGGAGTCGCACTGCCTGCGCTGCTGGACAAGAGGACGGACAACGAGGGCAGCATCGACATACTGAACAATGTTGAGGAGCCCATCGAGCGTCTGCCCATTGAGCAGTTGGACGAACGCGAACAGCTTAACGAAGCCATACGGAGTCCCTTGCACTTGGGCGGCATCAGCATTAAGCGGCACCTGAAGAAGATTCAGCCGATGTTGGCCAAGGGGCAGCACTTCCATGGCGCCACAAACGAGCGACAATCGGCGGTGGTGGCTGCCTTCAAGCACTCCTGGGCCGGCTACCAGAAGTACGCCTGGGGTCACGACAACCTAAAGCCCGTCTCGCAGTTCTCCCACGAATGGTTCGGCCTGGGCCTGACCATTGTCGATGCTCTGGACACCATGTACATAATGGGGCTCGATGAGGGTGAGTGTCGTCTGTTGTGCAGGTTATCCCTTGGGTGCTAATATGATTTGTATCCGCAGAGTTCAAGGAGGCACGTGATTGGGTGGATCTTTCCCTGCGCTTTGCCACTAAGCGCGATGTGAATCTCTTTGAAGTGACAATACGTGTCCTGGGCGGCCTGCTGTCTGCTTACCATTTGAGTGGCGATACAATGTTCCTCACCAAGTCGGCGGAATTGGGCAATCGCCTGTTGCCGGCCTTCCTCTCGCCCTCGGGCATTCCGTATTCGGATGTGAATCTCGGCGATCTGTCCGCCCACTCGCCGAAATGGTCACCGGACAGCTCCACCAGCGAGGTAACCACAATCCAATTGGAGTTCCGTGACTTGAGTAGGTCCACTAATATTTCCATTTATGAAAACGTAAGGCGAAGCATCTTTATCTGTTGTTTTCCCAAGAAACAAGAGCTAATCAGGGGGTGCATGTATATTTTAGGTCGTAAATAAGGTAAATGAGAAGGTCCACGAGCTGGACAAGACCGATGGACTGGTGCCCATATTCATCAATGCCAACACAGGCACCTTCCGCAACTATGCCACCATTTCGCTGGGTGCCCGTGGCGACTCCTACTACGAGTATCTGCTTAAGCAGTGGATTCAGACGGGCCGAAATGATAACGACAAGTAAGTAGGCCACTCGGGGGAGAAATTCAAAGATTGCACGGGCTCTCACACTCGATTCGTTGCAGTCTCATTCTGGATTATATGCAGGCCATTGATGGAGTGCTGACCAAGCTGATGCGCCGCACTCCGCGTGAGCACTGGGTTTACATTGGCGAGCTGATCAATGGTAAGGACTTTAAGCCCAAAATGGACCATCTGACGTGCTATCTGCCGGGCACCTTGATACTGGGGCACCAGAACGGCATGCCCGACTCTCACCTGATACTCGCCAGAGATTTGCTGGACACCTGCTATCAGACGTATATGCAGCACCCCACCCATTTGGCGGCCGAGATCTCGTACTTTGCACTGACGGACAAGGAGGAGAACGACATTTATGTGAAGCCAAACGATGCGCACAATCTGCTGAGGCCCGAGTTTATCGAGAGTCTGTACTATTTCTATGCGATCACCGGCAATCGCACATATCAGGACATGGGCTGGACCATCTTCCAGGCGTTCGAGACGCACGCCAAAGTGAATGCGGGCTACACGTCGCTGGGGAATGTTAGGAATACGCAGAATACGCGCATGCGCGATTTGATGGAGAGCTTCTGGCTGAGCGAGACATTGAAGTACTTCTATCTGCTGTTCAGCGACAACCGCAAGGAGATTGATCTGGACCAATGGGTCTTCAACTCGGAGGGTCATCCACTGCCAGTCTATCCGCCTAAGACATAAGTATCATCTAAGCACAAAACTACTAGAAGTTTGCTAATCAGAAGCAACTGTGCAGCATGTGAGCCGATGGCAGCTTTAAGGCTGCAACAATCGTATCGTTTTTACTCGTACTTTAGCGCAAATGCCAAATACTATGCTAAGCTATGCAATGCAATGGGTGGACAGCCAGCCGCCTGACTAGCCTGGCCTGGCTGAAGGGTGTATGTAGAAAAAATCGAATACAAGTTTATACTAACACCAATATCAGAGCAGTGAGCGAGCAGTCGGCAATCTACAGTCGATTCTGTATCATATTATTTGTACTGATACCTGTTATTTCGTAATAATTTATTTCTCTCGTATAAGCACCTACCACCCGACTACTCTAATTAGATATGACTCCCTACCCGGGCAGTCCTCTCATTAGTTGTAGCACCACCAATCAATCGAATCAATCTGCAGGTTTTACTTTTGTAATATCCCTCCCCCTGTAGTCGAATATGTATCTATATAGTAGTAGTACGTTTATGTTTGCGGATATTTTAGCAACTGTGTGTGCGGCACAAAGTCGATATTTGTGTTGAAAATATGAAGAAAGAAGCAGGCATGTAATGTAAGGATTTTGAATCTCATAGAAACTCGAATCCAAATCCCCAAACTAGGAGCAACGCAAAGCCAATATACCATAACTAATAATAAAATGCAAATAGTTTTAAAATTGTATGGAATTTTCTTTATTTTCCTAAGAACGTTGTCACCCAGTACAAACGTGCATGAAATGCATGAACTTTGATTGCATTTCCCTTTCACTTTTCTTTCATTCTTTTTATTTAGCTTGTGTTTTTCTCTGATTTCTCTGTTACTTGTTGCGTTTCGTTTCGTTTTCAGTGAGATTTTATGTGTTGTATTTTGTTTCCACTTTCGTTATACCCGATACTCAAAGAGTATTGGGATATATTAGTTTAGTTTTTTATGTACTTAATGTTTATGACGACTATGAATGGATGGGCTTAATAAACTATGAAATATTAAACTGTTTTTATTACTTTCTGGTTTCACTTTTTTTTTTGTTCTCTCTCCCTATGCTGATGAAGATGATGCTGTTTTGTTTAAAAATCTTTAGTTTTTCTCTTTATGTTTTTAAATTACATTTAGACACATTTTTAGCTGAACAATTCTTATGATGAACGGGTGAAAGGGTGGGTGGGGTCTGGGTGGCGAGTGTCGGTTGTGGGGGAATCTGAGTTTCTTGATCTTGTTCTAAATACAACTTAAAACAATTCGCATTAATAATCTAGCAATAGATTTAAATTTATTCAGTTTTTGAGGTTTTTCCAAACTTAAATTATTCTATTACATGTACATTTTTTACACGAAAGTTATTTGTCTTTGAATAATAACTAGAAAGTGGTGGAAGTTCCAGTTGAAGCAACACATAAAGGGACATAGTATGGGAGGGATAGGGGATGTGGATCATTGGGGGTCATGGAGGCCCGAATATATTGAAGCACATCTTAGAATAATGATACCTCTTGAAAGTAGTTCCCTTACTGACTATACGTAATACAAGCATTCCATTCCATTTCATTCCTTCCCTTCCGTTCCATTCTGTCCGTCTGGAAGTACGTATCGTAGTAGGTGTTTTTTTTTTTAATTTATTTTTTAGTGGTGGTATTAAAGTAGTAGTTAGTATTGTAATTGCTTTGAAACATTTACAACTGCTTTGCTCTTTCATTGATTCGTTTTTGTTTTGTTTGTTTTTGGATAAACTTCGTAGTTGCTTACTGTGTTTAAGACTTTTAATTGTAGTTATTATTAATGTTTTACAAGCTAATCAGACATCTATATTTAAAACGTGGCACAAATCACAATTCAGATTTGTCGCAAGATCAAGATACAATTGATACGATTCGTTAAATTTCCATTTTGTTTCTTCCTCCTCTCTCATCATCGATCATCGATCCATCATCGTTTCGTTCCATTGAGGTGTAGAAAGATAGTATGTATTATTACATTATAGATTCAATAATTTATAAATGTTTAAACTAAATTGGCTAAAATTGTGATTTTTGAACTGCTTTTGGTTTGCTTCGTAGTTTGCCAGAGCTGCTGTACGTTTATTTACTCGTTTAAATCCCTAAGATCTTTCCATAGCATTGCCGAAATATTATACTCCTATGCTCCATCTCCTTCCTACTTTTCATTTCATTCAAATTGAGCACACTGCCATACGTTTTGTATTTTGTTTTGTTTGTTTAAGTGGTAATATCAGAAGCAGTCATATGGAAAGCGCTTTACGTATCTGCATTCTCCTGTTAAAATTCCTATAAACATATATTCCTGAAACTGCTGAAACTATATACACAATCTCTTTAGTAATACTCGTAATACAAGGGAAGGATTTATTTGGAGTGGTTGATTGATTGATTGATTTGATTGCTCCTCTGTCTCTGATATATGTATGAACACTGGCATTGGCGACTTCATTTTCGATTTGCAATTGTTCCACAGAATTGCTTCAAGTTCAACTTAATTACGGAATTAATTATACAACCAATTCAGTTTTTCCTTTCTTTTCATTTCATTCTTTGCGCGTATCGTTTCCCTCCTTCTCCTTTCTCCTATCCGGTTTCCCGTTTCTCTTGGATTTATTTGAATATAAATTGTCTAGTGTAACTATATAATTCATTATATTTTAGGGATGTTTTTCCGTGAGAGCATTGGATGCTATTCGTCGTTTAATTTGCATTTCAATTCACCGCGTCAATTGCTTTCTTTTCAATCTTTCTCTCTTGGCCTTGTATTTGGGTGGGGAGGGGTACTACTTTTCTCTCCTCCTTCTCTCGTTTCTTTAAGTAGTCAATAATCAGCAAGTGGTTCAGAATTTGTACAGAATATTGGACTAAACAATACAAACAGAATAAGTATAAATAATTTAAGCTACAATTTAAAAACTTAGGCTCTAAAATAAAAGCGGACAAAACTCGAAACAGATTAAAATTGGGTTTTTGTAACGGTTATTTTGGGGTATTGGGGGTTGGGTTTTTTCTATACAATCATTAAGTCGCTGTCAGCCCACGCTCACAAGGTGGTGGCATTGAACTCGAGGATCAGGCTGTTGGCCAGCTCCGCTGCCGATGTTGGGGCCGCTGCTGTTCCGCCTCCTCCGCTGGCGCTGGAAGTGAGCCCAAGTCAAGAGGTCATTATCGACTTGACGGGGTCGTCGAGGCTGGCGGCCACGCAGCTGAAGTCATTCAGCTGCCCAACCAAGTGCTGCGAGGGGGCCTGTCCGATGCTCTGGTGGTGCTGGTGCTGCAGATGCGGCGGCTGGCCAACGGTGTGGCTCTGCATCTGCAGCTGGTGCTGGTGGTGGTGCTCCAGCAGGATGTTGCTGCTGTTATCCGCCACGGCATTGGCCGCCGATCCCCCGCCGCTGATCAGGCAGTCGTTCATCTCCTCGCCCAGCTGGCGGCGACGCTGGTGGGCCAGCTGTAGTTGCTCCTGCTGGCAGCTCGGAAGATTGGCCTGGGCTCCCTGCCGCTGATCCTCCAGCATGCTGTCGCCCAGGATCGAGCCCAGCGAGAACTGCAACGAGTCGGCGCTGTTCTGCAGGTTCAGTATGCTGTCAATGGCACTGGCCACATGCCGGCTAATGTCGTCGTCGTACTCCCCCGTCACTACAGGCTGTCCGCCCAAGTGGTTCACGTGCATCTGCTGGGGATGCTGCTGCTGCTGCTGCAGTTGCTGTTGCATGTTGTGCTGGTAATGTTGTTGTTGTTGTTGCTGTTGCTGGGTGCTCATCATGCTGGCGTAGGCCTGATGATTGGCAAAGTTGTGTGGTGGCTGCTGTTGCTGCTGCGGCTGCTGGTGCAACATCTGAGAGAATCCCGCGGGTCCATTGGCCGGCTCCACGCCCATGCCATCGTGTAGCAGCATCTCCGGATCGATTAGGCCATGCGGCGCCACCACCAACTGCTGCTGCGAGGACATGGGCGATGACGACGAGGAGGAGCCCGTGCACAGTCGCTTGCTGCTGTTGTCGTCCTCCAGTTCGCTGCTGGAGCCCATCATCTGGCTGTCCCAGTGCCGCTTGCGCGACTCTACCCCATTCACCAGTAGTCCGCCCTGTGTGCTGGGGCCATCGCCATTGCTGGTGCTTGTGTTGGACATAAAGTCGCTGTAGTGGGCCTCCATGCTCTGCATCCACCTCGGATTATTGTTGCAGTTCAATTCGATGTGATGTTGCTGCTGTGATGGTTGCTGCTGCTGCTGTGGTCCTGCATATTGCTGTTGGGTCTGTGGCTGTGGCTGCTGCTGCGGTTGCTGCTGCATGAAGCTGGCATCTGGCACCCACATGTTCAATTTACTCTTGACCTCTGGGGATTTTGAATCGCCAAAGATCTCGTCCAGATTCGATTCAATGTCGTGGTCATCGCTGCTGTTCTTCACATCCAAATGCACCGGCGACTCACCGAACATTGCCTCAAGGCGCGTCTCCACCGACTTTTGCACATCCGAGTCGCTGCTGAAGAACTCACTGATAGCCGGATGCTGGTTCTGTTCCGCTGCATCCATGGCCACTGGCTGCTGGCGTTGTCCGCTGCACGAGGAGTTACCAATGCTCGAATTGTGCTTGCTGGGATCGACGCTGGCGCTGGGCGCATTGTTTTCGCTGCCGCAGGTGCTGCTGTTGCTGCTGCTCGTCGAGCTCTGGTTGCTCTTGTCGATGCAACCATTAGGGAATAGATCGCCCATTTGATTGCTGCTGCTGTTCATCATTCCGCTGCCATTGGAGGTGTCCAGGAAATGTTGCTGCTGCTGCTGCTGGCGATTAATGGGACAATGCTGTTGCTGTCCACCATTCATCTGCGGCTGCTGCTGCTGTGGCGGCAATCCCTCGCTGTTCATCAGATTGAGTTCATTTTGAAGGCAATACCAGCCATCCTCCTGCTCCACATTGTGATCCACGCCATTGCCTTTGATATGTTGCTGCTGCTGCTGTTGCAGGGACTGCTGTTGCTGCTGTTGTGTCTGTGGCTGCTGCTGCTGCTCCCCATAGGGCGTCTGGTTGGCCCTTGCCTTGGCTTCGATCTTCTTCAGAATGAAGCTGGTCTGCAGCTCCGACTCAATATCAAAGTGTCCGTAATCCTTTTTGATATATCTGCCACTCGAATCCTCTCTTTTCACCTCGCCATTGGTGGTGGGCTGCTGTTGCTCCTCCTCCACCGCCTCCTGCTTTACAGTTGCTGATGCTGCTGCCGCGGGCCCCTGTGGATGGGACTGCAACTGCGTCTGCGACTTGCTGAAGGCCTTGTTCACATCGGCGCTGTTCTTGAGCATATCAAATGTATCCACAACTGCAGCTGCCTCGGTTTGTGGCTCCAGTTTGATCTTCTCCTTTATCTCTGGCGTGGCCAATCGCTCGCTGGTCTGCTCCTCCTTCAGCTGCTGCTCCAGCTCCTTTTCCGCGGTGCGTATGTCATTGATTTCCCCCTTGAGGTCATCGATCATCAGCTGTTGCATTTGCAGGAACTCTGAGGTGCGATGCGGCAGCTAAAAAAGTCCAACAATAAATAATCAATTAAAGTTCTTTACTCTCCTCCGATTTTGAAGCCTTACAGTGGACTCCTGCATGAGGATCTCCTGGAACTTTCCATTCAATTGACGAAACTTGTCCTGGAAACCCAGAGCAGTGGCCTCAAACTCCTCCTCCTCGTCGGAGGGCAGCTCCATATCATTCTCGTGCATGCAGTGGTACCTTCAAAAAAAAAACAAACGCAGAGAGAAATGTAAGCACAGGTCTGGGGGTAATCCTTCGGGAGTGGTTCGGTTCGGTTCGGTGTCCCCTACCTAATCAATCGCTTGACAGCCTCATCTTTGGTGCGGAATGGCTTCACATAGTCCGGCTTCAGGCAGCTCTCCTGATCCACCTCCAGTTGGCGCACGAACCTGCGAAGGAGGGGAAGAATTGGAAAGATTAATCTCTGGCTCGGGCATTGTTTGGGTGTGCAAAATCCATTTGTTGGCCGCTTTTCCCTTAAGAATCGGCATTGTTTCAACCAACTACTCACAAGGAGAGGCGTGCAATTTTCGGCTTCAGCGGCGGCAGCTCATCCAGTTTTGGTGGCATAAACAGGGGCAGGCTGGGCAACACGGGTGTCGGCAGAGTGGGCATCAGATTTCCAATTCCTGGTACTGGTACTCCCATGCCCACTCCCACTCCCACTGGGGGCACAGTTGGTGCTGTCACAGGTGCTGGCAGGACTGGAATTGGAAGAGCCGTTGATGGTGGTGGCTGTTGCTGTTGCTGTTGCATTAGCTGTGGTTGTGGCTGATGTGGCTGTTGTGGCTGCAATTGTGGCACCTGCTGTGGCTGTGTCTGTGGCTGCGGCTGCGTCTGTTGCTGTTGAGGCTGCAATGGTGGCATTGGCAGCATATTTGCCACATGCATCATGTTGCTGCCACTGTGGTTGCTATTGCTGTTGCTGTTGCTACTGTTGCTGTTGCTTATGCTGCTGTTGTTATTGCTGCTGCTGCTGCTGCTACTGCTGGCCAATAGATTTGTGGAGCTTGCAAAGATCAGCGGAGGCGGACCACTCTTTATGAGCGGCGGCTGCTGTTGCTGCTGTGGCAACATGGTGATGCTTTTCTGTGGCAGCATATTGATGGCTCCGTTCGGTGGATGCTGCTGTTGTTGTTGTTGTTGTTGCTGCTGCTGTTGAGTGGACGCATTGGAATTCCCTTTGTTTCGAATGACAGGCGGCTCCTTGAGCTTCAGCTGTAGAGATTGAGGAGGCTGCTGCTGCTCCTGTTGTGCCACCTGCTGTGGCATGCTGCTGTTTGTGGCTACTGCCTTTTGCTGACCCTGAGCCTGCTGCTGCTGTTGTTGCTTCTGCTTGTTGGCCTGCTGCTGCTGCTGTTGGTGCTGCATCGGATAGATGTGTATGCGTTGGGTAATGTTCTGTGGCTGCTGCTGCGCAGCTGCCACTGATCCTCCTGTTGCTCCTGTTGTTCCTGTTGTGGTGGACGAGTGGTTGTTCGGTTGCACCACATTGGCCGGAATAGAGAGGGAGGCGGACGTCTTCAGGGGCTCAGCGGCTGCCTGCTGCAACTGTTGTTGTTGCTGCTGCTGCTGCGACTGCTGCACCGCCTGTGGAATCAGACTAAAGCTTCCGTTGGCTGTCGGTAGCATTACCTCGGGTGTGGGCACCTCCTTGCCGGAGGACAGGATGCGGTGCTGATCCGCAAAGAGTCGCTGCAATGCCAGATTGATCTCCGCATCGCTCATCGGTTTGTTGTAGGCGGCTATCGTGGCCGTGTCCATCTCCTGCGAGAGATGCATCGTGGGCAGAAAGGACTTGTTCTGCAGCTTGAAGGTGAGGAACTGTATCTGCATCTGCACCTGCTTGAAGACCTGCTGCATCTGTGGCGTCAGTTGGATCGTCTGCACACGGGACACGGTGTTCGCTTGAGGCTGTTTCGGTGCCTGTGCCGGCGGCTGTTGCTGTTGTTGGATCTGAGCCGGCTGCTGCTGTTGCTGCTGCTGTTGGGGTTGCTGCTGCTGCTGCTGTTGTTGTTGCATTTGCAATAGATTTCCCACCGGAGCTGCTGCTGCTACTGCTGCAATAGTGGCTCCTGCATTGACAGCTCCTGTGCTGGCCGTCAGGCTAAAGCCCGTCGTCCGCTGCTGCTGTTGTTGCAGGATCGTCGCCACTGGCTGCTGCTGCTGCATGGGCGCTGTGACGCCCACCAGCTTCGTCCCACTTGTGGTCTGAAACGGCTGGATGCTGGTGCTCATCGTCGTAGTTGTTGTCGTTGTGGTCTGTCCACCTCCGGAGCTTCCGATGACAATCATCTGCTTGCCGCTGGCCACATTCGGCTGCACGATCTGCACCGGATTGTTGTTCGGTTTCTGCGACAACGGATCCAGCTTCGGCATGGGCTTCACCACACCCGCATTCTTCAGGATCGCCAGCTCTGCAGCGGTGGGCGTTGCCTTGGGCTTGCGCACAGGCTTCTTCTTCACGATGGCCCCCGTGCTGGTCGCCGGACCCGGTCCCCCCGTTTTGGCCGGCTCTAGCTTTGCCTTGCTCTGGTCAATGATGGGCGCCACATTGGCCACTTGCTTGGTCACCGTGGTGGTGGTCGAGGTGCTGCTCGTGGTCGTAGTCAGCGTGCAGCTGGCTGTCGTTGTGATGGCCAGTCCATTGGTGATAGGTTGGATCGGATGGACGATCTGTTGCTGCGGTGGCTGTGGCCTCAGTGGAAGCGTTGCTCCTGCTGCTCCTGCCTGCTGTGCTGGCATCGGATTCACATCGTTAAAGTGGAGCTGCCCCAGTTGGAGGCACTGCGCCAGCTGCTGGGCATTGATGCCCGCGGGTGCAATCAGCAGCCGCTCTGTGGGTCCAATCGAGGCTGCCGTCTGTCCGGCACTCATGGCCGTGATGTGATTCGTGACGCTGTTCAGGCAGAACAGCTGTTGCGTGGAGGGATCAATGGGCGGCAGGGCAATGTATCGCTGTTGTCCATTGTTCGTAGCGGCAGGGGGAGGAGCTGCTGCTGGAGGAGCAGCAGGAACAGGCGCTTGCTGGGGCTGGGGCTGGGGCTGTTGCTGTTGCTGCTGCTGCTGCTGCTGGATGAGCACTTGACTGTTGAGCGGCATCTGGGGAAAGGACAGCACTTCGTGGTTTGTCTTTGTGGCTGCCGCCGCCGCCGGAGGAGGAGGCAATGTCGGTGGTGGTTTCATGGTGGTTGTCGTCGTATTTGTGCTCGTCATGCTGTTGTTGTGCTTCCGATTGTTGGCCACTGCAGTAAACAAAAGAGGATTAGAGGATCTGTTTCCCATCTCAGGCACGGTTTGGCACTCACCTTTGACCTCTATTTTGGGTGCTGCTGCTGCTGTTACTTTGATCAAGTGTTGCTGCTGCTGTTGTTGCTGTGGGTGCTGCTGCTGCTGCATCTGTGGCTGTTGCTGCTGCTGCTGCTGCTTGCCGCCATCCATCGGCATCCTTGCTGGCTCATTGATGATCGTCACATTGGGCAGGGCCCCCTTGAGCAGGGCCTGCAGTATTAGCTGCGACTGATGATCCTGCGGATTGTTGGGATCGTGCCGCAGTATCAGACGTTCGCACTGCTCCGAAACGGCCAGCGTGAGGCTGCCCGTCAGCTGCGGCACCAGAGCGGCAGCCGCCGAGGCTGTCGATCCACCCGTCAGCTGTGGCGCCATAATGGTGGCTCCACCAGCCGTCATCACGGCCGTCGGTGTCGTCGTCTGCGACGAGGCACTGCCAGTGCCGGCAGGCGGTGTGGCCTGTGGTATGGCCACCAGCTGCATGTGCCGCCCATCGTTGGACATCTTGATGGCCGTGTGGGAGGTTTCTGCATTTGCCATCGAAGAAGTTCCCTGAAAGACCAACTGCGTCGCATGATGATGATTGCCGGTGGCTTGTGCTGGATGCTGGCTGTGCTGCTGCTGCTGCTGCTGTGGTGTTCCCCCCATCACAGTGGCTCCTGGCGGCATAATGGGCATAATCTGTATCTTGTTCTCCACCACTGCAGTGTTCAAGGGAACCCCCGACTGCTGATGGTTCTGCACCTGCGAGATCTGAATGTTTCCAATCTGACTTGGCACTGTCGTTGTGGTGCTGCCCCCTAGGCTATGGGAGAGCATCAAAGTGGAGGTACTTCCGCTGCTCCCGCTACTGCTGCTGCTGTGGACTGGCAGAGGCAGCGACAATGACACGGGCACTGGCCCAGGTGTCGTTGCTGTGGGTGTCGTCAGTGTGATGGTGTTGACGGTGGTGGACATGCTGCTGTTGCTGCTCAGGCTGCTGCTGCTCAGACTGCTGCTTATCGTTGTGGTGCTGCTGCTCGTCGAGTGGTTGCTGCTGCTCATGGATATGGTGGCAGGCGCAGCCTCTGGTTTCTTGGTGTTACGCCGCACCGCGGGCTTCCTGCGTGGCTTCACCGCTGCCGTGGCCGAGCCAGAGGAGCTAAGCGACGCAGCAATGGACTGGGCCGTCTGTGTGGGCGTGGGCGTACGCGCTGGTGCGGGCGTTGGCTGCAACGGCAGACTTATGCTAATGGTGGGCGCTGTTCCCGTGCCCGTTCCCGCGGTTGCTGCTGCTGCAACTGTCGTGGCTGATGCTGCTCCTGCTGGGGGTATGCTACTCTTTGCTGCAGCAGCGGCTGCTGCTGCCTGCTGCGCCAGATGCTGCTGGGCCTGCCTCTGGATCTCTTCGGCCGTTGGCAGACGTGGCGTGGACAGGGTATACGGTGTGGCGGAGGAGAGTGCTCCTCCAGCTCCTGCGGAAGCGGCTGAGGGATCGCTGGGATCAATCTTAATGAGGATATTTGGTATTTCGGTGGCTTCGTTCGACGGCAGCGACTGTCCGTGTGGCTGTGGCGCGGGTATTGTCAGCGTAAAGGGCATGCCATCGCTGCCGTTTTGGTTCGGTATAGAGATCATGATATCATTGGAGCCAGACTGCTGCTGCTGCTGTTGCTGTTGTTCCGGCTGCTGCTGCTGCTGTTCGCTGCCCGTGTCCATGCCCATGCCATAGTCCTCGTCATCGTCGTCGTCTCCCGTTATGCCGCAGAACTTCATCACATCCCCGAGGTCCAGTTTCCCGTTGCTGCTCCTCTGAATGTGGGTGGGCGGTGGCGACGGTGACTTGCAGCGCACTGCAGTCTGTGGAGCGGAGGCTGTCGGCGTGGGCGTGGTGGCTATGGCTATCTTCTGCGGCTGTGGATCTGCCGCTGCCGCCGCTGCGGCTGCCACCGCTGCCGCCGCTACTGCTGCCGCTGTGGGCTTCTTTTTGCGTGGTCGCGGCTTTTTCTTGGGCTCTGCCGGAGTTGGAGTCGGAGTTGGAGTCGCTGCCACAACCACTGTGGCGGTGCTGGTGGTGTTGGCGTGCTGGTGCTGCTGCTGGGCTTGCTGCACCTGCGACTGCGTCTGCTGCAACTGATGCTGCAGCTGCTGGATCTGGGCTTGCTGCTGCTGTTGTTGCTGCTGCTGCAACTGAATGGTGGCCATGGCCGCCTGCTGCTGGTGCTGCATGACCGGCACGGGGGTGCCCTGCCGCATGGGCTCGGGTGTGACGGCTACCGGGACGTGGGCAGGCGAGGATTGGGTGAAGATGTCGCCCTGGCCAGCGGTGTTGCTGCCGCCATTGGTGGGGCCATTGGAAGCCGGTGGCTGGGGCTGCTGGAAGGCGGTGGCTATCTGCTGGATGTGCGCTCCGTTCAGCTGATTCAGGTTGATGGTGGCCCCGCCCAGGCTCTGCTGCAGGTGGGCGGGCAGCTGAGAGATGGCCGTCAGGCCGTTGGGCATCTGAATTTGGGCGGCGGCCGCCAGCTGGAGGTTCTGCAGTTGTTGGGCCACACTCTGGCCCAGCAGCTGTGTGTTCAGGGTGGCCGTCGTGGCAAAGGGCTGAGATCGTGGCGCCTGCGCCTGTGCTTGCGCCTGGGCCTGGGCCAGAGCCGCATGGAGGCCCGACAGCTGTGTGCCCGTCTTGATGGCGCTCTGGAAGTGACCGCCCGTCGCCGTCTGCTGGATGAGGTTCGCCTGCGAGGACACGATGAAGGTGGGCGCCGCAGCCAGCTGCATGGTGGCGCCATTCGTTCCGACTATGCGCAGCAGCTGCTGCTGAGCCGGCTGCGACAGTTGCGGCTGTCCGCGTCCATTCTGCTGGATGACCAGCGAGGGGGTCCCCGTCAGCTGGGGCGTGGGCGGGCGCAGGATGAGCTGCACCCCTTGGGGGTTCTGCTGCACTAGGACGGGCATCTGGTTGAGGAGCAGCTGCTGATGCTGGTTCCCAGCAGCAGGCAAAAGGATCTGCTGTTGCTGCTGCTGGCCGGGATTCGTGGACTGGTGCTGCTGTTGCGGCGACTGCGAGATCTGCCCTCCATTGGAGCCCTTGGCCTTGCCCTGATGCTGCTGCTGCTGCAGGAGCTCCTGTTGCGGCTTGGGCAGGATCTGCTGGGGCGCCTTCCCCGACTTTGTGGACAGCCCAATCCCTGCATTGCTGCTCACAAACCGCTGCTGTTGCTGTTGGTGCTGCTGGTGGTGTTGCTGCAGCTGCTGCGGCTGTGGCTGCTGCTGCTGCTGGGTGGTGGTGGTGGCTATCAGCTGGCCCTGCGGCCCCTGGATGAACTGGAACACTTGCTGAGTGGCCTGCTGCGCGTGCGGATGATGCTGGGCGCCGCCCGTGATGGTAAACTGCTGGGGCAGCATCTGCATGGACTGCGGATGCGGTTGTGGCTGGGGCGTTGGCGGCTTAATGGAGGCCGCAGCGATGGCGTTGCTCGGACTCGGGATGGGGCTGTCCGCTATCAGGGGACTGCTGCTCTGGTAGTGCTGGAACTGCTGATGCTGCTGCTGCTGATGGCTCACCACCGTGGTCTGGGCGGCCTTCTTCGCCTGATTCTTGGACCCGCTACTGACCACGTTTGCCGTCGCAAACGAAGTGGGCGTGCTGCTGATGCTGATGGCCGTGGCATTGAGTTGTTGCCCATAGCCGCCGGCTACTGTCCCTACGCTGCTGATGGAGGTGGGCGCAACGGCCTGGCTGCTGAAGATCTGGTGTCCCAGCTGCTGCTGATGCTGGCTGAGACGTTTATTGCCCTTCTACGAATGCAAATGGAAAGGTTTGTTCAGATTGATCTTTAGAAAGGGATATTCCAATGTGGATTAAGCCTACCTTATTAAGCTGGATATTGTTGGAGCCGACGAGGGTGGCATTAAGCTCGTTTCCTATGGCATTGCCTGCTCCCGCTCCCACTCCAGAGGCGGCGATGAGGCCACCACTCGTCACGCCAATGACCGTCGTGGCAGCGGCCGCCGGTGACTGCGAGGGGCTCGGCTGGAAGACAACGGTTCCAGCATTCGGGCTGCCATTTGCGAACTGATGAATGGACTGTCGCCTGCCAGGCGTCGCCGCCTTGCGCTCCTATTTCAAGAGAGATTCGAGGGTTTAGTGGGGGCGAATCCTATTTTATGTTTATTCCATGTACTTACGTGGTCCTGCTGATTGCTGTTGGCGTTTACTTGACTGCCACCGGCTACGAGCACCACATCCTGTGGGAACGGCGATAGCGATGGCGATGGCTGCAGACGTGGGCTAGCTGAGATCGATGGCGATGGACTGGGCGTCAGAAACGGACCCGGAGGAGACAATATTCCTGCAAGAAAATAAGAGCAACAAACCAAAAATTAATATTTACTCAGCTCAAAAGTTGACCCAAATTTATATGCAAATGGAATGTAATATACACATGTACATATGCATGTACACACGTAAATGGTAATGCTGTTATATCTGGGATCTGCTGCAATTCTTTGGTACGTGACCAAAGTGCCAACGGTCCTACCTCTCCCCTCTGCTTTGGCGCAGAGCAGCTTAAACGCATTCATAATTGTCCGCCATTTCACAAAGTTGTGTATTTTACCCTTGCACAAGGTATAGTTCAAAATGAAGGTAGGGCAGTGTACAAGTGCAACTCCTATTCGAAAGCATGCGATGCATTGGCCTTAACTTTCAATTAATATACCTTGGCCTCTTCTCTCACTCTCTCAGGCACTCTTATGTTCGTTCCCTTCTCACCTAACTCTTGTGTTTTGAATCCCTTTGTGCAGGGCACATTTAGCACATTTTCAAACACCAGCTGAAAGCCACTCACACTCCACACTCCTCTCTCTCTAACACACACACACACTCGCTTATTCCAGAACCAGTTTCCTATGTGTGTGTGTTCTTGTTTTTTTTGTTGTTGAAGAGTTCTTTGCACTTCTTCATTTTCGAGTCTTTTTTTCACTCACTTCTTTTGTTACGACCGACTTTTTTTTGGCCACGGGGGGCACACAAGGGGGTACGGTATTCACAAAATATTAGCCAAAGGCATAGGCAATGGCAATGGCAATCTTGGGGTAGCATTTAATTCAATTTGAGGCAGCGTCGGCTAAGCAGCGATTAAAATAATGCTAATGCTGTTCGTTTATTCTCTCGAGTGGAATGGAATGAGTGGGAATCGCAACTACCGTTGTAATGAGCAAGCAGTGTTATTTCTTTTAGGTGATTTGCTCTTACAATTATTATTTTGGGTATATTTTCGGCCTCATTCCGTGGTAAGACATTTGTGGCCTTCCACCATATTGCGCAATAATTTGCGACTTTGTGAAACTAAATGGAATTAAACTCGCCCGCCACCAGCAAAAGGGGCAGCAGGCAGGCAGACTACTACTACTGCTTCGCCAGCAATTTATCCTTTGCTCAGTTTCCCAGGAATAATTTGCATTTGCCGCCGCCACAGCTGGAACCCAGGAAGGAGGATGTGGCAGCAGATGCAGAAGCAAAGGAACCGCAGCAGCACAAAATTGAATATAATACGCAAACAGAAGAGCTTTAACATAGAAATCAGGTCGAATGCGGAAATACCCTCCACATAAACGTTATGAAAATAGCTTAAAGTAAACGGTTAAGAAAATATTTCCTCTTTTTGGAGAGGGTAGTGGAACAAGACGGAGGAAAAAACGAACATAAGCATGCATCAAAATCGACATCATCTCGTTTCGTTGTGGGGGAAGGGAAAGGGAATGAAATACGGAGAAGGATTGGATTGGATTGGAAAGGGCTATAGGGGGGAGCCATCATCCATCGGCAGAATCATTATCGACAGCAAAACTAAATGCAAAAGAATTTAACAAGCGCCCGTCTCTCTCTCTCTCTCTCTGTTTTCTGTGTGTGTGCATCTGCCTACACGGCTGCCACTGCAACTGCGCTCCATTCCCCTCTGCTCCGCCACCAGTCGTTTAATGCATGACTGCCCTCCCGCTGGCAGCCGCTATTCAATCCTCATTCAACCTCGTCTCGAGGAGCAAGAGATTGTGTTCTCTGTGATATATTCCTGGCCTGGCCCGGCCCTTTGTTTGTTGCCTTGGTAATACGCCAGAGTATGTAGGATGGGGAAGGAAATTCAAATCAAAAGCAACAGCAGCAGCAGCAGCACACCAGTGCGCGCGGTGGCACCTCGGAGGAACTCTCACTCGACGGGCTGAATGGAGGAGTTGCTGGCGGCTAAAGGGGTGTGGATAATACCGGCACCAACTTGACTTTGGCAAGCAGTTTTTCGTTTATTTTTTATGTCAGAGTATTTTAATTTCAATTACGTAATTAGACAACAAGCAACTCTGAATCGGGAGTGGAGATCAATTACGACTACGATAATAAGACACCTGTAAAGCTGTTGCAAGTCATCTATCGATTTAACAATCGACTTGAGATAAAACTCAGCTTAAACTTAAGAGAAACTTGGAGACTTAAGCCTCTATTTATTCAAAAACCATTTCAAAGATTACCCTAGAGTCTAGACTGCAATTTAATTAAAAGGATGGTCTAAAAACGAATCGTTATTATAATTATAGCATGGCATACACCCCTGCCCAACTAGTTTATAGCATTCAATAGTCTCTTAATTATGGCAGACAACCGTTCCGTTAATGGCAGCCTTCGCTTACACTTGCTAACAGAGATGCGCCATCGATATCTTTGACACAAAAAGAGTCCCTTTTGTATACCCCTCTAATTAAACAGTTAGCCAAAGAGTGAAAGCACCAGAGGAAGGAAGGAAGGGAGTTGGGTTTAAGCAAAAAGAGAGATATACACAAAGAGTGAAAGGAGGTGATGGGGAGATGGAAAGGAGAGACGAGACGAGACGAGACGACAGACAGACCCAATGTAATTTCCCACAAAGGCAGACCACAAACGCAACTAGCGCAGCAAGAGCGGAACGAGGCGGAGCACACAAAAAAGAAAAAACTAAACTAAAGCGCAACTAAAGGATAAATCGACAAACAGATACACACACAGATACAGATACAGATACACTCTTGATGTGCACAGAGATACTTGAAAAACTTTTGGGCCGAGCAGCAGAGCCACAGATGAGCGCACTTTTGGCTGCCTAACATGGATAGACGCCGACTAAAATGGTTGTGTGTGTGTGTGTGTATGTGTGTGTGGGGGGATCCATGGATCCATGGATGGATGGTTACTGGATGCTACAAGGGAATGAGAGAATGGAGACTGCTTGCTTTTTGGTAGCCATTTGCTTGAGTGTCTGAGTGCCGCCCGCCTTTGAAGGAGAACTTCTGCCGGGACAGAGCGAGAGCCGCGTAATATTTTGCATTTCATTCCAGTGAGCACAGGGAGGAGTGGGGTGAGACGAGTGGGTCGCAAGTCGTCGCGAGATGAATTCTATTTACACACACACAGACACACTGACAGACCACTCACAGTTACTGGAGTGCAAGAGCGAAAGAGAGGGCAAACGACTCTGTGGGGCCTGTCAAAGTCAGTAAAATTTGAGTGCTGGATAAAAGGAGATGCAGCAGCAAAGGTAAAGAGAGCAAGCAAAAAATACAAAGTGCAAGCAAAAGTTAGTTCACTCAATCTTTCTTGCACTTCTGGAAGGTAATTGGATTTGATGGAATACTGAAATGTATTCCAATAGTCCCAATTGAGCGCATTTGTATTTTAGTTAATTTTCATTGAAATGAAGCGGAATTATGCGTTGATGAGATCTATCCACATTCATAACCATTCACAATCCCTCCGCACTCTCTGCTGTTCCCCCTCCCTCACTCTGCCACCTACTTCTCTGCTCCAGTAAATCTCATTTCACAGAGAGCACAAAAAACAGTTTATTTATATGCAAGCTTCGGACTACCACTACTTCACTCCACCCCCCTACACATAGGAGGACACTCTCCAGAGAGGCTCTACATCGTTGCCGTTGGCTACCAAAGGGGGGACACGGGCGACACGGGCACCGTATGCTCTCGCATATTTTATGCGGTGGCAAGTGTGTGTGTATGCGTGTGTTTCGTTGTGTATGCGTTTGTCTTTGTTGTTTCATTTATTTGGTTGACTGGCAACTCCTTTTCACCTTCTCCCTACCACCCATAATCCCTCCCAGCCTCCCTCTCCCACTCACTCTCTTACTAAGTAGGAGATGCTGCAGCAGCAACGGCGCCGCCATCGTTGGGTTTTAATACCCTTTGGGAGTAGGGCACTATGAAATTTCGATGGAGATGCAACTAAATAAATGTGTTTCTCCATATGTTACAAATATTTTTCTTGGCTAATAATAAACATAATCGAAATAAGCCCATTACAAAATTAAATCCTATTAAACCATTTAGCAAGTACACGGAAAGGGTATATAAGCTTCGTTGCTTGGGTTTTACTTTTTTCTGCATTCTACTTTTTTTTTGCCTGAAATTTTCATTCTGCGATTGTTGTTGTTGAATCTGTTTCTGGCTGGCTGCTTCTTCTCCTTCTGCACCTCCCCCCTCTCCCACTTACATTTTCTTCTGCTTTTGCTCCTACTGATTCTGTTGCTGTTGTTGTAGTTGTTGTTGCTGCTGTTTCAGCTTCTGCCCCGTTCGTTCTATTGTCACATTTTGTAACAATGGCAGCCGTGCGCGCGAATCGGACTCGAAAAAGGACCCCGAGTAAACGACAGGCCAGAGCCAGGAGCAGCGCAGTGTAGTATGTAGCAGAATCATCATCATAGCAATAACAGCAAGAAGCAAATTTGAGTGCCGAAGAATTTGATACCCTTGCAGATACATACATTATTCCTATGTGAATATACTCATCCGATTTATTGTGTACACAAAAACTCAACAGATTGTTCCTAGGGCAGTCATTTAATATACGCATAAGCTGATCCGATCTTTGAGGTTCCTATATAACGGATGGACACAAGGACTCGCAATATGAATACTTTTTGGGTTCGAAATTCTAACATGCTTCAAGCATTTAGTGAAACCAATATAGCCGGCCCAAAGAGGAGAGTAGTGAGTGTAGGTTGAGGACTACACCGACTTTACTTTGGCGTATGAACTGTTGATGGTGTTATGGCGATATGTCGTCCCAGCATCCTCTCCTCCTACAACGTCTCGCGCGTTTATAAGTAGAAGCATAAAAAAAATGTTTGTGCAGAAAAAAAACAATGAGCAGAGGCAGTAGAGAAAAGAAGAGAACAGGACAGGATAGGGCCGAGACCAAGGTATATTCGTACATGGAGCATGAAAGGACGATAAGGGGAGGAAGATCTATAGAGGAGAAGGCACTGTGACAGTGACAGTGGGTGGAGTGGTGTGGAGAGGCGCGGGGCTG